CGCCCATCGCCGTCCTGCTCCCGGTGGCACGCACCGCGGCCTCCAGATCCTCGGTCTGGAGCGGCGGCAGCTCCTCTTGCCTGGCGACCTCAAGCGTCCGCTGGAGCTGCTCCTGCAGACGTTGGAGGTTGGCCTCCGTGTCCTGCAAGACTTAGTGGGCCCTGGAAACAACAGGGCCGTTTTTTTAACCGGTTCCGTTTTCCCGTTTTTTGCCGGTTCCGACGCCGTTTTTTTGCCGGTTCCGTCGCCGTTTTTGGACCGGTTCCGGCTCCGGTTCCAATCCTGGAGCCGTTTTGTTGCCGTTTCCAGTCGCTGTTTTTTTGCCGTTTCCATTTTCAAAGGGCAATTTTTTGGAAACGGTGAAAAAAACGGCCCTGCCGTTTCCGGGGCCCACAAAGCTGCAAGAGTCTGTCCCGCTTCTCCGCGCGCTTGTGCATGATGCTGCTGGGCTGCGCGACCGTGACCATGCCGCCCTCCTCCTGCACGACCAGCTCGTTGGCCACTGGCCTGTCGGGCTTGACCGTGCCGTGGAGGAGCTCAGCCCGTTCCTTCCATGCTCTCTGTGCCCAGCCGACGTAGGCCTTGCGGCCCTCGCCTGTGGCTAGGGCCTGCCCCCTTGCCGCCAGCGTCTTCGTGACCTCTAGCAGCTTGTCCCTTCTGGGCGCGTTGGTGCTGCCCCGCTTCTTGGCGCTCTCGCACCAGCCCGTCGATCAGGTCGCCTTCTCCGAAGCACCGCAGCAGGCCCTCGCTCTGCATGGCCTGGGCGTTCCTGGCGACCTGGGCAGCCTCCTGCTTCCTCTCCTGCGTGTGCTTGCGGCTGCTCATGAGGCAAATCTTGGATGAGCGTCTCGCACACGTTCATGATCTCCGCCGTGTGGCTGCGCATGTGCGCACGCCCCGGCGTCGAGCGCAACCTCGCCCAGGTGGCGTCGTAGCCGCGGCCGCGCCCCCTGTTGCGGTGCTGCTCGCTCGCCACTATGCCGTGGTGGTCCAGGATGGCCCCCTCGACCTTGCCCGCCCAGTCGGCGTGGCAGCGCGAGAGGTGCCTCTCCTGCTCGGCCGCGCCCGCGACCTGGTAGGCCAGGTGGTTGCCCAACTTCGACGTCGGCCCTCCGGGATGGCAAAGGTGCATTGCGGCGCTACCTGTGGGTCAGCATTGCCCATCGGCCCGCTCTGCTGGTATTCGCCCTGCATCTCCTCGAAGGTCTCCCGCAGCTCCGCTGGCAGCCTGCTCATCCGCTCCAACAGGCGCTGCTGCTTGGCCCTGCTGGTCTTGCTGTTGGGGTCGGCCCAGCGGCCTAGGGCCGCTGGGCCCTGGGGAGCTCCCTGGGGGGCCACCAGCCTGCGGGCCCACCACTGCTCCTGCGCGCCCTCCAGCTCAATGGCCAGGCCGCAGTGGACCCTCCACGGCCCCCCCCAGACAGCACTGACCCTCACGTCCTGCGCGAAGTCGGCCCTCGCCATCGCCGCGCAGCAGTCGCTCATCGTGCCCGCCCCCCTGGTGCGCGTAGCGGCCCTCCCGCTCGGCGCCGGGCCCGCGCCGCCGCCCCTGGCGGGGAACCCCAGCTTGCTCAGCTGGGTCGGCTCGAGGTTCCAGTCCGCGGCCACCGCCCACGGATCACCAATGGCCTTGAGGAAGGCCCCCAGCGCCGCCAGCTTGCTCTGGTTGGGGGAGCTCGGCCCCCGCGTCGGCGCCATGTACGCACTCGCGAAGACGCAGTTGCCCGCCTTCGTGTGGATTCGTGATCGCAGAGAGGCCTCGGAAAAAGGGGTCCTCCCCTCCCTGAAGCTTTGCCGCCTGCCCGACGTGGTCGAAGCAGGCCGTGGCGAGCGCGCGCCTGGCAGCAACCGGCTATCCGCCGCTGGTGCCCCCCCGCGCTCCTTCCCGTGGCCGGGGCCGCCGTGTGCGGGCCCTTCCAGCCGTCCTTGTTGAGGTCGCTGATCAGCTTCGGCGAGCAGGCGTCCGGGACGCGGGTCGCGCAGAGCCCGACAATGCCGACGCGCTCATCGCTGGAGTTCAACTCGTTGGTGTACCCGTGGGCCTGAGGCCCCCACTTCTCCACGTTCGCGAAGAAGATGCGCGCCGCTCTGGGCGCGCTACCCTCGCAGCACGCTGGCCTGCGGGGAGCCCATGCCCCCGCCCGTGGCGCCGGCAGCAGCGGCGGCATCAGCAGCACCGCTCGCAGGAGCCGCGCCATGCTTCTGGGGGCGTGCTCCTGCGTCGCCCTCTCGCGGAAGGCAGCGAGCTTCAGGAGGGGAAAAAACACACAGACACAATTAATCGGCCACTCCCAGGAACATATAGGAAAATATGGGAAGTGGTGTGGAAGACAGAAACCCAGAAGATATAGGGAAATATGGATCATATTTTTATTTGTGTGTATTTATTTGTGTGTCCTGGGGCCCCTTCAGCTCCTCCCTGCGCTGCTGGATCTCCTCTGGGGAGGCGTTGGCCGTGGGGGTGGGCGGGCCTCTCCGTGCTCCGGCCGTCGCCGCCGCGGCGTCCGCCGATGCCCGCCGCGCTCCTCGCCGCGGCGCCCTCCCCGTCGACCTTGCGCCTCTTCTGGAGCGTGGGGATGCGCGTGCGCACCTGCTCCGCATGCTCTAGGGGGGCAAAAATCAGGAGGGGAAAAAACACACAGACACAATTAATCGTCGATTCCTCAGAAAATATGGGAAAATATGGGACATGGGGGGGAAGACTAACCCCCAGAAAATATAGGAAAATATAGGGAATCCTTTTATTTGTGTGTATTTATGTGTGTGTTCCAGGGCCCCTTCAAAAAAGTCACATAAACATAAAAACTCGGAGGTCCGCGCGGATTTCTTGGATCGGCGCTGGACCCCCCTCCCTGGCGCGCGGAGCGTGCCAGGGGCGGCGCCAGAGGCGCCGCCGGGGGGCCCCAGCGCCGATCCGAGCAATCTGCGCGGACGTCCGAGTTTTTATGTTTATGCCACTTTTTGTTCCCCTGTGCTCCAGCAGCATCTTCTTCTGGTGGGCCTCCGCCTGGGCGAGGAGCCGGGCGTCGGTCTCGCGGCGCCGCTGGGCCGCCTCGGCAGCAGCCTTCACTCCACGGCTTCCCGCTCGAGCGGGCGCGCCGCGGGGGCCTCTCGCCCCCGCCTCTGCGCTTCGCGGACCTGGTCCCTGAACCTGCGGATCTCGTCCTTGCTGGGGCCATCCTCGTGCTCCGCGAGGTCGCCCTGCAGGACCCCCGCGCGCTCGAAGTCGAGCGCAGTCCCCCCCTTTGACTGTCCTCCCCGTCGTCCTTGTCATTGTAGTAGCGCTGCTTGGCCTCCTCCAGCTCCTTAGAGGCGGCCAGCGCCTGCTCACAGCACCTCCTCACGGTGCTGCTCCGCCGCCGCCTTGGCCTCCGCCTCGTGCAGGGCGCTCTGGGCCTGGTCGAGGACGGCCTGCTGGTGCGCCTGTCGCCCCTGGGCCGACTGCAGGCGCTGCCAGGCAGACTTGGGCGGCGGCTGTGGCGTGGTCTCCTCCTCCTCCTCCTGGCTGGCCTGCTTGACGAGCTCCACGATCGTGCCCCCGTAGCTGGCATTCTTGGCGAGGAACTCCAAGCAGGCCTTCGTGGTGAAGCCCCACTTCGCCTCGGCCGGCGTGGGCCCGCTGCTCCTCCACGGCGGTGTCGACGCGGGCCGCTGCCCCGCGCCCGTCCGCGTGTGGCCGAACCCCAGCCATTCCCCGCAGCGGCACCAGCCCCGCGCCCTCTTGAGCTTGTCGGCGTACGTCCAGCCCTTGCAGCTGCCGCGCACCACGTACCGCCCACTCTTCTGGCCACTGCGTCCCATCGAATGAGTGAGAGGGGCACTGGATGCGGCTCTGCACGCTGGTGCAGGCTCCTCTCCTGGGGCGGACCAGGAGGAGAATCGGGTGCTGGCCGCGGACGAGCGGTATCCACTCTGTTCCCAGGGGAAACATGAGCCTCGAGCCAAATTGGCTACGGAGGAGGAGGAGGAGGAGGAGGAGGAGGAGGAGGAGGAGGAGGAGGAGGAGGAGGAGGAGGAGGGGGATGGGGAAGGATCCATGGCTCCTCGTATCGATTTTATGACACCTTTCTATTTCAATAAGGCGTCGCCGGATCTCTCGACAATTCACAGTGGGCCAGCTCTCCACCCCGCCAAACGGCGTGGTGACCACACCGTGTGGTGAGTCGGTGGAGATTCGGGGTCACCACGCGGTGTTGGACGCCCCCGAACACCGCGTGGTGAGTCAGTGGGGGTTCGTGGTGTCGTGGGTTTCTGGGCGTTTTCGTTGGTTCTCGGATGTTCTCGGATGGTTTTCAGACGTTTTGGCTGGTTCTCCGATGCTTTCTCTCCCCAGCATGCGTTCCAGCAGCTGCCCCTCGCTGATAGCGTTTCGCGGCTGCCAGAGTCGTCCCGAGCGGCCACCGGAGACCCGAGTTGTGGCCTCGAGACAAGATGTTCGGAGGAGGGCCAGTGTGGTGAGCCAGCGGGGGCTCGGGGTGGCCGCACCATTTTGGGACGTGAGGCGTTCTCCGAAGACGTCTGGAGCGGCTGGGGCCTCCGAGGTCCCAAAGCCGTACCGCGCGGAGGAGGGAGGAGGAGGAGGTGGTGGAGGAGGAGGAGGAGGAGGAGAGGAGGAGGAGGAGGTGGTGGAAGAGGAGGAGGAAGCTGATTCATGCCACAAGCGTGTGCTCCAGGTTCAAGCAACGTCAAGAAGCAGGAGAAGGAGGACGAATATGGAGGAGGAGGAGGTGGTGGTGGTGGAGGAGGAGGAATGCCACAAGCTTGTGCTCCAGGTTCAAGCAACGTCAAGGAGGAGGAGGAGGACGAAGAAGGAGGAGGGGGAGGAGGAGGAGGAGGTAGGACTAGGAGGAGGAGGAGGAGGGAGGAGGAGGAGGAGGAGGAGGAGGAGGAGGAGGAGGAGGAGGAGGAAGTTACAGCTTTTCCCTCGCCCAAGGAGGCGGGAGGCGGGAGGCGGTCGTCGGTGCCCGGCGCCCCCAGCGGCGGCCGCGCGCGGTGCCTAGGCCGCCCGCCGATGCGGCCCCAGCGGCGCCCGCCGGCCCGACAAAGGCCCGCTCAGCGATCGGCCGCCGCCGCCGCGTGTCAAGGATCGAGGATCGATCATAGCAAGGCTTCGTGTTGCGCACAGGCCGGGAGGCGCAGCGAGCTTCAGCAGGCCCCCCGAGTAGCCCCAGTTGGCTCCAACAGGCTCCCCGAGTAGTCCGAGGCGGCCTTCCCAGCTGGTCTCCACAAGCCCCCAGAGTAGTCCAGGGCGGTCTCAGCACCCTGGCACCGCCTCGGGCGGCGCCCCTGGGGCGCTCCGCGCCCACGGGTTGGGGTGTTGAGACCGCCCCGAACTACAGTCAACCATGATAGTAAGGATGGGGAAACTTTCCATGGCCACCCTCGCACCCTTGCCCATTCGGTATTGGGCATCCTTCGGCATTCTGCTGCTCTCCGCACGGAAAACATCAACATGGCGTTCCAAGGCCCGTGCATCCTTACCGCGCATCCTTACTATCCTGGTCGAATGTGCTCGGGGGCCTGTTGAGGCCACTGGGACTACTCGAGCGGATAGCTGGGACTACCTGGGGAGGTGGCTGTCTGTGCGCAGCCCGAAGCCTTAGCATGTCGAGGACCGAGGATCGATCTTCGAGGATCGGGCCGATACAGTGGAAGCTCATGCCACGAAAACGCCTGCTTGCCTCTAGAGTTCCCCGATTTTTTTGGGGGTTTCGATTGTTTCATCATGGAGCACGTGGTGCATCCACCGCGCAAATCAATGGACACCCTTGGGCTCCAGGGGTTGGGTTTCTCGTGGAACGTCTCTTGTGGTCGAGCTCCTGCTGCAGGGAATCGGGGGGCTTCGAAGTCGGCTGCGTGCAGGTGGTTTCGGCTCTGCCGCCGGGCGTCTGCCTCGATGCGTGGGTGCCTGCGGCGCTGGGAGGCGCCGAGACAAGCGGGTGCGTAAGTTGATTCGCTGACCCCCCTCTGACTAACTATTCCCTGTGCGGTCGGACCGAGGTATGAGATCGAGGTCGGTTCGGGAAGGGGGCCCTGATGTGCTTCGTCTGGATGTTCGTGTGCATCCTGAGAGAGGGTGCCTCTAATGTTCTCCAGTTTGCCCAGCGGGGGGTCTTAGGTTCTTGACGGATGTTCTTCTGTCCTAGGTCCGGGCGTGCTACCCCTCCTTGGGCTACCCCCACGGGCAATCACATACCCTTGTAAATGACAGCTACGCCACACACAACTGCGGACGATCAGGGCGATTACCGAGTGTCCGCGGTGCGACAGTGGATGTCCGTCTACAATATTTGGGCCGGGAGCGAACCGATTCAGTGCCAAGACAACGCTGTGTGTTTGGGCGGCTTCCTGAGTACGGACGGGAACTCCAAGACAGAGTTGACAAGACGTATTAGTGAAGCGGAAGGGGTTTTTCAAATTTTCAGTGCTTTTTGGAACCACGCAAACGTATCTCGTCAGCGAAAAGTTCTCATACTGGAAACTTGTATTTTCTCGAACTTGTTGTATGGACTTGAATCATGTATGTTGCTTGCCGCCGACCGGGAACGACTCGACGGCCTTCAGGCTCGGTGTCTGCGGAAGATCCAGAACATCCCGCCGGCCTTCATTTCGAGGGTAAGCGATGCCGAAGTGAGAGAGAGAGAGAAGTAAAGTCGAACGTCTGTCGAACACCTTTTGCAGGCAGCTCAAATACTACGGCAATCTCGCCCGAGATCAGCCGTGGGCGCTTCCTAAACAGATGGTGTTCCAAGACGGCCAGGCGGGCGAGATCTTACCGAGAAGTTGGAGCATGCGCCGCAAACGAGGACGACCTAGAGTCCAATGAGGCCACTAGTTGCACGCCTGCGCCCTGAACTTGGCGGGGGGGCGATCCGGATCGTTTACAGCATCTCCTGAGAAGCCCGCGTGCGCGGTGGGAGGCTGCCGTGGTGCAGTATTGCAGACACAGTCAGCTCAGTGCCCTCTTTCCCCCGTCGTTTTCCTTCCCCTCCCCCTCCCCTTCCCCCTCCCTGCTCCGCCTCGCTGCCCGGCTTCTGCTTCGCAGTCGGGCGCTCCATGTTCTATACTTCACAGTCGTGGGGCGCTTCGTGCCCCGTGCCCGTTGTCCCGCAGGTGCCTTCGTTGTCTTCCGCCGCCCAGCATTGACCTACGCTCAGTGCCTGTGTTCTGGCGCGCTCGCATTCGCGAGGCAGCATTTCACATTGTTCTTTGGCTTTCGTATCTTGCCGATGTTCTGCCGATGCGCCGTCCAGGCGCGGCTTCTTGCGTGCGTGCGCGGGGTGCGACAGCACCATCGCCAGCGCACGTCGCGCCAGCGACTGGCAATTCTAAGCATCGCGACCTCGACGACGACGCTTCTAACGACTCCGGCGACCACGGCGCATCCAGCAACCCGTTAATTCCGTCAGACCCGCCTGAAACAAGTGAGGGCAGCATTGACATACCCCAATCGATTCAGACACACCGACAGGCGGCGGACGAAACCGAACTATGGTTTGACTACATCCGCCAGAGCGCCCGCAGAGCTCAGGAACTCGTGAACATGCACGACATCCCAGACATGACACAGATGCATCGCAGAATGGTTTGGCGTTCGGTATTTCTTTTAGCCACCCACCCACCCAACATGTGGACGCAACGAGGAGTGAATTGGAACTGTAATCTGGACTCAAAGCAACAGGGATATCGACAACAAGGCGGCCAGCACAATGGCTGGGACGACGGTATGCGGAAGTTTCTGCGCAACGTGCATCGACAGGTTGACGAAGATCACGCACAATGCGACACCGGCGACGCCTCCCAACCACGACGATACGTCCACCGCGGCACCGACGACAGCGAGATGGCTCACGCGGGATTCACTCGAGAGCACCACCTTCGCCACTTCTCCTGTCGCCTTCTCGCTGGCGGCCGGGCGTCGGTGCTAATCGCCAGCGCCGCCGCGTTGTGTTTCAATCTGGCGGGCGCCACCCCGCGTTTCGCCTGAGCACGGACACTCTTCTCACAATCGCACGAGCCCCATTGGTTTGTTAACCACGTGCTGACATCCGCGCTCAACGAGGCAGGCTTGTGCCGGTCTGCGCCGGCAGCCCTTCGCCCTCCGCGGCGGTGCTGGGCGCCTGCGGGGTGCTCCGTGCGTCGTCGGCGGGGAGACTGGGGGTTCAGCTGGGAGCTTGAAGCGGTGGCGCGCCCAGGGGGCAGGCGGGAGGGACAAGGAAAGGCCTTCGCAGGCGGCGGCGGGGTTCCCCCGGAAGCCTCCGCGCCTCGTGGGGGCTTCCCGGGGAAGGCTCGGGCCACCTCTCAGGAGGCAGGCGGGCGTCCGAGCTTTCTGAGAGGTCCGCCCCCCCCCCCCCTCCCTCCCTCCCTCCCTCCCTCCCTCCCCTCCCTCCCACCCTCCATCCCTCCTCCCTCCCTCCCTCCCTCCCTCCCTCCCTCCCTCCCTCCCTCCCCCCCTCCCTCCCTCCCCCTTTCCCCCTGCGTTCGCCGCCCCCGAGCAGGCCCTCGCCCGCGCCCCCCTGACCGCCGTGGTGGCTGCCGCCGCCGCGCCGCACGCCGTGCTCCTCCTCGGTCCTCGGTCCTCGCTCGTCGGTCCTCGATTCGAGCCTCGGCTCGGGTCAGCGCTTCCCGCCGTGCGCAAGAGGGCTCCCGCAGACCACGGCCCAGGGACAGCGTCGGCACGGCCCGGGGGCGCCCCCGCCCCCCTTACACGCCCCACGGGGGCTTCGAAGGGAATCCCCAGGAGCGCCTCCAGAGGAAGAGGGCGCGGAGAGGAGGGGGAGGAGAGGACGAGGATATGACAGGGAGGGAGGGAGGGAGGGAGAGGGGGAGGAGTAGGATGAGGGGAGCAGTTGTTTCGGTATCCGGGCTTATCCATTATAATTCTATTGCGAAGCACTGCGCAGTTCAGTGCAAGTTCTGACGTCTGAAGAGTGCGTAGAGGCCCGCCACGGTGTGGCCAGAGGCGTCCGAAATAAATATAGAGGGGCAGGAGGAGGAGGAGGAGGAGGAGGAGGAGGAGGAGGAGGAGGAGGAGAAAGCGGCGGCGGAGGCGGTGACGAGGGATGATCCTCCCCGCCCGAGGTGAAGCTCGACATCTCCGTGGCGACAAAAATCAACGAGCTCAACGCGTCGGGCGAGCTCGGCCAGGACATCCGCAAGCCGAAGGCTGGAGAGGGGAAGTGTGACGGCAGTAATGGTGGGGGAATCGAGGATTGTAGAAAAGTGGGCCCAACTCAAATTACATTGGGAACGCTACGCGAGCCGACCTGCAGAAGGCATACACGTGTACTTGTCCGCGGCCTCAAAGGGGAGGCGGGCGAGCAGACAGGCACGGAGACGGCAGAGCACGAGGAAGAAAGTACGAGGAGGAAGACGAGGAGGAGGACACAGCAGAACCTCGAGGGTCCTCGCCAACCGACTCCAACGAGTCTGCTTGATTGGCAGAGTGGTGACATGTGCCTCTGGGATCGCGCTCATCGCCTGCTCCTCCGACAGAAGCGGCCCCGAATCAGGTCCGAGTGGCTCCTCCACTGCCACCGCGGGCCCAAGTGGTGCACGAAAGGGGCATGCTCTCTTCCCCTCCCTGTTTTTTTCTCCTCGTTTCGCGAATTCCGCTGGGCCAGAGCCTCTCCTCGCGGGCGTTTGCCCACGGCCTCGTCGCCACTGCGGATCTGCCGAGCGGTGATTGCTATGCTGGGGCGTCGTGTGGGGAGTCGTGCGAATCCTGTTCGGGGTCTGGTTGTAGCTTGTTCGACCTGGTTCGCTGCCATCGCATGCCCAGAGGGGCTGATTTGGGGCCCTTCGGGAGCTATCTTCGCCCCTTCCAGGGTCGCTCTTCGACCCTACCTTTGGGTCAGACCGGGCGATCTTGGAAGCTGCCCGCACGCGGACTTGCGGGCGCCCAGGGAGGGCATAGGGGGAGCGGAAGAGCTGCGCCTTTTAGGCATCCTGGCATCTTTTGGAAACGATGGTCGGCGGGTTATGCGTGCGAACGTAGAGTGCAAAAAACAACCCCTCTGTTTGGGAGCCTCCTTGGGGTCTGTCTTTTGGACTTCTGGGGCTTTGTGGGCCCCGGAAAAGGCAGGGCCGTTTTTTCACCGTTTCCAGAAAAATGCTCCTTGAAAATGGAAACGGCAAAAAAACGGCGACCGGAAACGGCAACAAAAACGGCTCCAGGATTGGAACCGGAGCCGGAACCGGTCAAAAAACGGCGACGGAACCGGTAACAAAACGGCGTCGGAACCGGCAAGAAAAACGGCAAGACGGAGCCGGCAACAAAAACGGCCCTGTCGTTTCCAGGGCCCTTTAATAGGGGGCCACATGCGAACCCTGCCTCTACCCCCCACGATTTCTGAGGGGGAGGGTGGGGTTCACTTCGTTCGGGAGCTCTCGAGCGAAGTGAACCCCACCCTCCCCCTCAGAAGTCGTGGGGGGTAGGGGTAGGGTTCGCATGTGGCCCCCTATTTAAGTTCTGGGGCAGTTTGTGCACGCCTGGGAGCTGTTCTGTGCGAGATGACTCCGCCAGTACCGGCAGCTATCTCACACGCCGTGGAACTCCGAGGGTTCGGCGATTTTGTTCGATCCATGGGCCCCCGGAGCTCTCCACCCTTCCTCAGTTCGGGAGCTTTGAGACGGGGGTCAATGCAAACGGGGGTCAGCCAGAGCGCCAGATCCTGCAGGATCCTGCGAAGACCCCTCTGGCTGACCCGGGTTAGCGAGCCGCTCGTGGCCGCGAGGCGGCCGCGCATATTGGCTGACCCGGGTTTGCGAAGACCTGTGTTGCAGTTGTTTTGTTCCTGCATTGCAGTTTTTGGTTTCCTGCTGACCTGGGTCTGGATTGACCTGGGTCAGAAGATCCCCGATCAGTGCAAGTTTCTCGCCTCCAGTCGTTTTTGCCAGTCCTGGGGTCGTCTTCAGCAGAGCAGTCAAGCGTAACTCTTGCTACTCTCATCTCTGAATTTGCAGTGCCTCGGCACGATGGTCCATTGGATTTGATTGCAACCAGCCCGTTCTCAAGACGGATGATTCTAGTTTGTGTGTGTGTATGCATGTATGTTTGTATGTGTATTTTATGTACGTATATACATTATGGGCCCAGTGATCACTTCCTGGCCTGACGCACTTCGCCTGCGGCTTTCTGTTCTGGCCTTCACACTGTGGAGGTCGCGAGGCTGCTGAGCCAGATTGACCCGAAGCAGGCGGTGGAGGTCTTGGAGGGCGTCTGGTCCACTGAAGCGTCCATTCAAGACCCTAACGCCTTCATCAACAACGTCGCCCCCATCCCTCTTTTCTCTCTCTCTCTCTATTTCTCCCCTTTCCGCCGCACAGGGGGATGTAGTAGAAGGCAACGGTCGGTTGGTTTAGGAGGTAGACGAGGATAAGACGAGTGGGGGGAGGTGCTGGAGGAGCAGGGGGAGGGGACGAAGGGGAGGACGAGGATGAATTGGAGGAGGAGGAGGAGGAAGATGAGGAGGATGATAGGGAGGAGGAGGAGGAGGAGGAGGAGGAGGAGGAGGAACCAATGCAACAATCTATTGACATCGGACCAGTGTGCCGTATACAGCATAATCCGTTTTCTTGTGCGGATCTCAGTGCGGGACCGGGAACAAGCATCGGTGTGTAAAGTTCGGTTTCTTATTTCTTTCTAGTTTCCGAACATGAGACTTTTGAAGATGGGAAGGGTAAAGAAACGGCGATTGGAAACGGCAAAACAAGGGCTCATCGACTGACACCAGAACCAGAACCAGCAATACCACGGCGACGAAACCGGGGACAAAAAACAGCGGAAGAGCGGGAACGGCAAAGGAACGGTCTTATCGTTTCCAGGGCCAGCTAAGGTAAGGACCGTCCTGCATCTATCAGCGGGCGAAGAACGGCAAAAAGTATTTTTTTCCGTCGCCGGGGGCGCTGCCTCAGGGCGGCTGGAAAGTTTTTACTTTGACGTGCCACCGTAAGGGTATAAACTTCCAGCCGACCTGGGACAGGCGCCCCCGACAGCGAAAGAGTTTATAGAATGTACCCTTCTTCGCCCGTTCCCAGATGCAACTCCTGGGAGGTCAAATTCTGATTTTGCCCTGGTCCGAAATCCGGCCTAACCTGGCTTAATCCCGCTTAATCCTGCTTCATCCCGTTTAATCCGAGGCCCACTCCGGCGTAACAGCTCACAAGTGGGGCTCAATCCTCCTTAATCTCTCGGACGAAAACCTCCCAGTAGTTGCCTCCTGAGGCCCGTTTAATCTGCAGTGCCGTCCGCACGACGCTCCGAGGCTCGGCGCGGCCAAGCCCTGGGGTCGTCCCCTCGCCCTCTCTTCTCTGGCCCGGCCGGCCGCGGCGGCCCCTTGCGCGCGGAGTTGCGCGCCGCGCGAGGTCTGCAGCATCTTCATCGAGGCGGCGGCCGCGGAGGCGGCGGCGGCCGAGGAGGCGTCGGGGGTCGCCAATTTTTTCAAGTCGGGCACGTCCCTCTCCGCAGGAAGTGTATCCAATAATAGTTTTAATGATAGTATGGGGCCGGTTTTCTAGTAGTTTTGGAGAATCCCTGGGGATTTTGGGATGATTTTGAAGATGGAACCATCCTATGGTATTGGGTCCTCGTGTTTGAAGAGACGGTCCCCGCGTCTCTTTCGTCCTCCCTCGTCTCTCCTCCCTCCTCCCCCTCCCCCCTCCTCCCTCCTCCCTGCGTTTAACCACCCAGTACAGCGCTTCGTGGCCCCATAGGGAGCTCTACCTAAGGCTCCAGTGGGGGTGGCCACATGCGTCCGCCACACCCAGTACAGCGCTTCGTGGCCCCATAGGGAGTTCCACCCAAGGCTCCAGTGGGGGTGGCCACATGCGTCCGCCACACCCAGTACAGCGATTCGTGGTCCCATGGGGAGCTCCACCTAAGGCCCCAGTGGGGGTGGCCACATGCGTCCGCCACACCCAGTACAGCGTTTCGTGGCCCCATAGAGAGTTCCACCCAAGGCTCCAGTGGGGGTGGCCACATGCGTCCGCCACACCCAGTACAGCGTCGCGTGGCCCCATAGGGAGCTCCACCCAAGGCCCCAATGGGGGTGGCCACATGCGTCCGCCACACCCAGTACAGCGCTTCGTGGCCCCACAGGGAGCTCCACCGAAGGCCCCAGTGGGGGTGGCCACATGCGTCCGCCACACCCAGTACAGCGCTTCGTGGCCCCATAGGGGACTCCACGCAAGGCTCCAGTGGGGGTGGCCACTTGCATTCGCCACACCCAGTGCAGCGTTTCGTGGCCTTACAGGGAGCTCCACCGAAGGCCCCAGTGGGGGTGGCCACATGCGTCCGCCACGCCCAGTACAGCGTTCCGTGGCCTTACAGGGAGCTCCACCGAAGGCCCCAGTGGGGGTGGCCACATGCGTCCGCCACACCCAGTACAGCGCTTCGTGGCCCGTGAGGCCCCCGCCACGCCGAGTATTCACAGTCGTGGTTTTACACTGGGCGTATCCATGCTCGCATGCTCGCATTCATGCACATAGACTTACTCGCACGCAGAATCAACCACAGTCAGACGCGCTCGCACTCAGTCTCACCCGCGCTCAATCCCCCGTGCTCAGACCTATCGTTTTCGTTCGTGTCATGTACCCCGCCACGCATGTCGGCACACCCCTCGCACGGTTCGTGGCCCCATAGGGATGGCCACCGAATAATATACTCGCAACAGCATGTGTCTGGGTTCTTCGCCGGGAGGGGGACATGCCCGACCTAACGCCAGTTCCTCGGTGGCAACGTCAGGAGGGTATAGTCGGGGAGACGTAAGACTCGAGCACGCTTTCTGGCGAGCGCGTCCTGGATTTTGTCGCTCCAGTTTTCGCGGGATGTTTGCAGCGGGAGATTGCGTGAAAAATTTGGGGCTGGGTCTCGTCATATACTTTCAGACGGCCCCGTCGAGCCAACGCGAGTCCCCCGAACCCGAGTCTTACGTCTGCTCGACAGGATGGTATAGGCTCCGGTTCTTTGTGATTTCTTTCAAAGGCGCCGCCTGTCTGAATTCGTTTAGACATGCCCAAAGCGACCATGCCCACAACGGTCATGCCCAAGACGACCACGCCAAGCTCGTTTGGGCATGCTCCGAAGCACTCGCATACATGATGCCAACGCGCACTTCGGAACGCACGCCCAGCGACCCCACACGCCCGCCTTGCGCACGCAGGCCCAATTTGGCTCCCCAGAGTCTCAAACTAAGAGAGAGCGCCCTCTGTGGTCGCCTGGGGGGGGGGGATTTGGAACCGCCGCCCCCCGCCCCTCCTTGGCAGGAGGGGGGGGGGGGGGGGGTCGAACACCCCCCCCCCCTCCTTGGCAGGAGGGGGGGGGATTTGGAACCGCAGCCCCCCCCCTCCTCCTTGGCAGGAGGGGGGGGAGGGGGGTTCGAACCCCCCCCCCCCGTGTGCTCGGGGGGAGGCGTCGACCTGTCCTCGGGGACGCGCCGCCGACGGGACTATTGATTTTTTTTTTTTTTTTTTTTGTTTAAACAAAAAAAACGTCGAACATCCTCAGATGATCGGAAACTGGAGCATATACATTACCAGTGGCTGGCTGTTTGTCAATCCCAGGACTTTTTTGAAGATCGAGGACGACGCTGGGGTGGTGTGGTGTATACTTTTTTCCCTGACGTCCCGTGGAGACAACGGAACATGTGTGCACCAGAGTCCCGCATACACCAGAATCTGCTCTCCAGTGCAATTTCCAATGCAGGGCAGGAAGAAGCGTCGGTGTATAGAGTTCGATTCCCTAGATGAGTTCCCACCACCGGGAGCCCAACCCCCGCCCCCTGGCGTTGTCCCTCCGAGGCCCATCCAGACCTCGAGCAGGGGGGCATCGACCCCAGAATTACATTCGCCCCTCGCATTGATCTGCCCGTCGAGTCTGCGCAGCACGCCGGGAGTGCTCCGTGGATCGACGGAGCATTCTGCGTACTCCCTGCAGGTCCGACGAGGAAAACGTCAATTTTGGGGTGCATCCGTTCTGTGGTCGCTCTCCCGCTCGAGGATCCGGGACCGGCGTTGGTGCGCGTGCCACCGCTGGGGAAGCCTCCTCCTCCTCCTCCTCCTCCTCCTCCTCCTCTTCTGTGCCTCCTCCTCCTCCTCCTCCTCCTCCTCGACCTTCACGAACCCCCGGGGCGCCGCGGCCCCGATCTCCGACGGTGTGTTTTTCCTCTCCGATCCCCTGGCTCGCTTCCCGTGTCTCGGCACCTGCGGCCCGCGCGGTCGGGCCCCGGGAAGAAGGCAAGAGTGGGTGCGCGCGTGGAAGAGGCGCAGGGACACGATGAAGTGGTTCGTCGTCTGTGGAGCCTCGAAGGAAGAAAGCGAGGGACGGGATCTGCCCCCCCCCCCCCCCCCCTCCCCTCCCCTCCTCCTCCTCCTCCTCCTCTTCCTGGCAAGTCCTCCTCCTCATCCTCCTCCTCCTCGCAAATCCTCCTCCTCCTCCTCCTCCTCCTCCTCCTCCTCCTCCTCCTCCTGGCAAGGGGTCCGACGTTCCTGGGCAGGTGGGCATGTTGGGAGCCCCCCAGGGCCGCGCGTGTCCGTTTCCGCCTGCCCCCCCCTCTGGGGTTCTGAGGCACGAGCTCCCCAGGCGGTGGGCGTGCAGAAGTTCTGGCCTCGCAGAACCAGGAGATGGAAGAGCGAGGTTCGAGGACCGAGGCTCTTCGGCGTCTCAGGGTCTCTTTGGGCCTCCAGGGCGCTCCTCGTCGCCGCGCGCGGCTGGATTTCTTTCGAGATTCTCGTCTGCACGCGCCAAGGAATGTGTCCTGCGGTCGTTTCCACCCGCAGGCCCGTTCTGTCAATGTCACTCACGTTTCATTGAGTTTTCATGTGTGTATGCTGTGTTCGTTTGCATTGATTATTAGCACAGTGGTTGATTATGTTTGGACCGCTGCCGTTTGATGTTCAGGGGCCCCTGAGTCATAGGAAAAGGTTGCGTATTCTTTCCCAGATTATCGAGATAATCAGATCACGTACATCCCGAGACAGACTTAGTGTGCTGCCATCGGTTGAGATTGGTAGCGGAGCCGGAGATCCACACCCATCTCCGGCACCCCGTCCCCGCGCCATGCCCGCTGGCGCGACGCCGCCCCGCGGAGCGGCGAAGCCGCCAGGACCGCCGCCGGCGAAGCCGCCGGGCACCCCGCCCCCTGCCGCCGCGGCTGCTTCGGCTGCCAGCGGCGTGGACCCCGCTGCCGCGACCACTCGGGTCCCCGTCCGCGAGGGCGACGAGGCAGCCTACGCTGAGGAGTGGGCTGGCTGGACGGGCGGAGGCTGGTGGCGCCAGGAGAGTTCCAACTGGGACGGGGGCAGAGGACTCGACGCGGGCCTGTCTAAGACGGCGCCCAGCGCTACGAGCTGCTGAAGGCCGACGGCTACCGAGTTTTCAGACGAAAGCTAGAGGTCTTCGAGAGGTGCTGCCGCAAGCGCGGCACGACCGCCATCAGCGAGGGAGCGTTTCTGGTCATGAACTCGCTGCAAGGAGAGGCGGCTGAGGCCACGGAAGAGATCGACTTGGACCTGCTAGAGACGGACGAGGCCTTCAGGCCGCTGTTCAAGGTCCTGGATGAGTACCACAAGTATGATAACCAGACTGAGCTGTCAGCCCGGACGGATCAGTTCTTCGGCAGGTTCGCCCGCCAGGAGAAGGAATCCATGAAGATGTACTGCCTACGACATCAGCGCGACATAAGGAAGCTGAAGGAAGTGGGCATGGAGATCCCAGATATGCTAGCGGGCTGGCACCTCCTCACAAGAGCGGCGATCCCACCGTCAGGTGCCGCCCAGGTTCGGAGTCAATGCGTAGACGGCCTCAGTTGGCAGAAAGTGAAGAAGGCGTTGCTCGACACGTACGGAGCCGAAGGTCTGCCCGACAAGCGCGACATCAAACGAGTGGAGAATATGCTGTTCGGGCAGAACACCAAGGACGATGCTCACTACACGAACGATTACGAGTGGGAACGAGGCCTGAGCTACGAAGACACGTACCTGGAGGAGGAAGAGTATGACGATGAAGATGAGTACGAGTACGAAGATGCAGACGAGGAGGCCGAGATCGCGGAGGAGTTGCCCCAGGATGTTGAGGACGCTCAGCTCGCGTGCGACGAGGCCTACCTGAGTTTCGTGGATGCCACGAAGCGTGTGGCTGAGATCGCGAAGTCCAGAGGCTTCTACCCGATCGTCGCCGTGGCGCCCGACAACAACTACCGTGAAGCACGACCGGCCCGAGCCCCAGGCAAAGGCAAGGGACGTGGACGAGGCAAGGGTAAAGGCAAAGGCAAAGGATCCAGTCAGCCACGACGAGATCCATCAGCGTTCAAGTTCCCGAAAGCCCCGTTCACCCGCTCGCCGCCTGCATCGAGTGCGGGATCGATCGGGGCGGGCTCGACCCAGCAGCACGGCCCGAGATTCAAGAGGTTCTGCCGCGGCGGGTTCAGCAGGCCGGAGACCGAGTCAGGTAACATGGTCGAGGACGTCGAGACGTTGGAGTACGCGAACTCGACCGAGGAGGTGTTCCTGCTTACGGTCGGCAAGGGCATCGGCGACGGAGGCGCAACGCGGCCCGTCATGGGCGACAAGGTTTGGGCGCAGTGGGAGGAGCTGCTGCGCGTGAAGCAGTTGCTGCACGAGGTCAAGTATGAGAAGAGTGATCGACGGTTCAGGTTCGGAGACGGTAAGACGCTTGAGGCACAGAAAGCAGTGGCGTTGTCGGTATGGCCGTTCGGGATCAAGAAGCAAGTCACCATCCACCTCGTCGAGGGGTGGGCGCCGCTGCTCATCGCCAGGCCCTGCATGGAGGAGTGGGGTCTCATTCAGGATTATCGAGCAGGCACGTTCATGATGAAGGACCTCCCCGACAAGGGCTGGATGAAGTCTGAGCGAGATGAGAAGGGCCACTTCATCATTGATTTGCTGGGCAGCGCCGGGAAGGAAGCAGACGACGCCACGAACGAGGGCGCTCCCACGGACGGCGAGGAGAGCAGCGACGACTCGACGGACAAGGACTCGGAAGGGGAGTTCGGTGAAGGGGGGGGCCGACGACGGCAGCGACTCGTCGGTGCCCGACGCCGACGCCTACTACCTCGAGACCGTCCCGGAGTTCTACGACATCGGCAGCGACGACGAGGCGCTGACGACCAAGGGTTTCCTATACATGGACGCGGACACCTACTCCGACCTGATCTTGGCCCTAGAGCAAGCGGAGACCGACATGAAGGACACGCTTAGAGGACCCCGCGAGCGCGTGGTCTGGGAGGTCTTCGTGGACCAAGGGGCGCTGTCGGAGGATCTGCTGGAGTTCCCGCAGGTCAAGGTGATCCAGTTCAGGTTGGCTGGCGGCTGGGACTTTTCCAAGCCCAACGTGATTCGCAGCTTCTTGAATGATCGATGAGGAGAAGCCCGATGACATCTTCTTCGCACCCCCATGCAGGATATGGTGTTCTTGGCAACGTGTCAATGAGAAGTTGTCGGAGGAACACGCGAAGGAGATCAACCTCACCCGACAGAGAGAGGAGAAGACGTTCCTCAAGATGGTTCGAGATGCGTTTGTGAAGCAGCAGAACGGCGGACGTCATGCGTACGTAGAAGGCCCGTGGCAAGGGCTACAGTGGCAGACCAAGACCTGGCAGAAGCTGCCTGGATACCACTGCCGGCTCGACCAGTGCAGGTTGGGCGCGAAGTTCGAGATCAAGGGTAAGTTCATGCCGTGCCAGAAGCCCACGCGACTCCAGTCCACGAACAAAGAGTTTGTTCACCACGTGAACATGAAATTCAGCTGTACCGAGGAGCACGTGGTTTTGCGCGGCAGGCTTGCCCAGCAGGCCCAGAACTACCCGAGACCGATGGCGCGAAGGATGGCCTACTTGATCGCCTATCAGGGCATGGCCGATGACATTGAGGATGCCAACGCCGCCGAGGAGGTCTCCCAGGATATTGACGCCATCGAGTACACCGACGTGATGCAGGAGCTGATGAAGCGTTTCAACGTGTCGACGACCAGGGCGGTCAGGCGCGCTCACATCAGCCTGGGCCACCCTTCCAACGCGGCACTGGCTACCGCCATGAAACACGCGAAGGCCCCGGCCGAGTGGCTCCAGTGTGCCAAGCTCTTCCAGTGTGCAGTGTGCCTGAGCAGGCAACGACCGCGAGCAGTGCGCGTAGCTGTGCTGCCGAAGGCTAGACGGCTCAACGAGGTCGTGAACACCGACGTCTACTACGTCACCTGGAAGAACAAGGAGCGAAAGATCGTGGCCATGATGGATGAGTTTACGCGCTGCGAGGTGGACTACCCGATCGCGAAGGAGACTTTCAAGAAGGAGGTGCAGCTGTTTCAGAAATTGTGGAACAGCTGGGCTGGCAAGCCCGACGCCATGAGGATGGACATGGCGGGCTCGCACACGTCAAGAAAGATGCATCAGTGGATGAGCAAGCACGACATCGCGCTCGACCTGATCCCGAAGGGCGCGCACCACAAGCTCGGACTCGTGGAGCGCAACCATGCGGTCAGGAGGGAGCAGCTCAGCAAGTACCACCTGCAGTTTCCCGACGACTCGCCCAAGACCGCGCTCAGGATGACCGCCAGCCAGCGGAACATCTTACGCAACGTGCACGGGTATTCGCCCGCGACGCTGGTGCTGGGTACACAGCCCAAGGTGCCTGGCGCGCTGTGCGACGAGGACTTCGGCCTGGCGGAGCAGGCCGCGCTGGTCGATCCCAAGAGCGAGGTGCACGAGATAATGGTCAGGCGCGCTGCGGCGGGGACGGCACTCTCCGAGGCCAACTGCTCTCGTGCCGTGCGAGCTGCGCTGTTGGCGCGCAGCAGGCCGACGCGCCGCGAGTGCCAGATCGGCGAGTGGGTCTACTTCTGGCGACCCGAGATGTCGACGGGCATGGAGAAGTGCCACTGGCATGGCCCGGCGCTGGTGGTGGCGGTGGAGTCGAAGGTCAACGAGGACGACGTGATGCACGCGTCCGTGGTGTGGGTCACGCACGGGTGCACGATCTACCGATGCACGGTGGAGCAGCTCCGCCCCGAGCTGTCCTGTGAGACCCGATAGCGAGAAGGACGACGCGAGGGCCCAGACAGCCCACTCAGCACCATCGAGAAGCTGAGGAGGGCGCTCAGGCGGACCAAGGGTACCTGCAGCTTCAGTGACCTCGCCGAGGGGGGCCAGCGGCCCCAGTGCGACGACGCCCTGGGCGACATGGGCGCACGGCAGCCCGGCGCCCAGGGACACCCCGATGGAGATCCTGTTGGACAAGGACGAGAGGAGCCGAGTGGAGCGGCTGCCGCGGCAGCTCCCGAGGCCCACCAGCCAGCTGAGGCTGGCGAGGAGGCGGCTCCAGACCCCGCGCCTGCGGGGGCCAGCGCTGCGCGAGAGCGTGGCGCCGCTGCGAGGGAGCCGAGCAGAGTCCACATCGAGGCGATGGCCAAGAGGAGCATCGAGGAGGCCGACAGGCTGGGCGGCATCCCCTTGGCAAAACGCGCCCGCATGTCGTGGGCCAGGCTCGCGCCGCAGCAGGAGGAGTCGTGTCTCATCGAGGAGGTGGACGACGAGATGATGTTGTTGGAGGAATCCACCGAGACAATCTACATGCTGGCTTTCAAGAGGAAAGTCCCCACCATCGTGGATGGGGGGGCTTACACCCGAGGAGCGGGGGCAGTTCTACGCAGCCAAGCTGGAGGCCCTCGAGGTGTTCAACAAGAACGACGGCTGGGAACCCATCGACGAGGCGGAGGTGGACCCAGCGGCGTGTTGCCCGCTACGCTTCCTGCTGAAGTGGAAGGTGAAGGACGGGCAGCTAGTGGCCAACGCTCGAGTGCTCTACCAAGGTATCAAGCACCGCGACGTGGCCGAGAGCCAGCTTGACAAGGAGGCGCCCACTTTGAGCAGGCTGGGCCGACACACGGTCATGCTGTGGGCATCTTTGAGGAAGTGGAGACTGTTCGCTGCGGATGTGAAGTCCGCATTCCTGCAGGCCGAGGACGTCAGTGTTCGCGGCATCAAGCTGTGCGCGAGCCCGACGAAGGAGATGAGGGGCATGCTTGTACACCAGATCGGCCTGCAGCCAGGACATTTGCTCAAGATGATCAAGCCTTGCTTTGGGGGGCCGCGGTCGCCCAAACTCTGGCACTACCGCTCCGACGAAGTCACGAGGGAGATCGGGTTCAGGAATCGCTGGCTCGAGGATTGCTTGCTGCTGTCCTTGCGGGCCGCGCGACCCTCGGACGACCCGTTCGACGTGTGCAGCTTCGACGGCCAGACGTTCGTGGTGGACGGGTTGATCGGCAAGCACGTGGGCGACTTCATCGGCTGCGGCGAGAACGCGAGTTGCGAGGATGACCTATGCGCCAAGCTGGACGACACCGAGTGCTTCCAGGCGCGGCTGGGCATGCTCAGCGAGAAGTTCAAGTTCGGCAAGTGGGAGTTCGGACCGAGCCTAGTCTTCACCGGCGGCGAGGTGGGGCAGTCCCTGAGCACCCACGCGATCACCATCAAGTTCGAGAAGTACCTGCACGCGGTGAAGCCCATCACCGTGGAAAAGCACCGGCGGGCAGATCCCACCAGCGCGCTGTCGCCGAAGGAGCTCACGAGTTTCAGGGCCCTGAACGGCCAGCTACAGTGGCCGGCAGCCCAGGGGGTCATCATCGCGGTGGCGACCGTATCGTTCAGAGCCGAAGCGACTGGACACGCGACAGTGCAGGATTTGCTGGATGCGAACATAGATTTACGGTACCTGAAGGCCAACGCGGATGTGGGACTGTGCTTCGGCTTCGACAGGCCGTGGAGTGAGTTGCGCGTTGGAGGCTACTCAGACGCGAGCTGGGCCAGTCGACCTGACGGAAGTTCCCAAGGAGGCTATCAAATCTTCGTCGGACCCGAGGGCGAGCTCAACGCCGGCACCCCGACACCGTTCGTGGCCATGGAGTGGGCCTCGAAGAAGCTGGTGCGGTTGTGCAGGAGCTCTCTGTCCGCCGAGGCGCAAGCCGCGGCGCTGGGAGCCGACTCGCTGATGTGGGTGAAGGTCTTTTTGGCCATGAGTCTGAGGCCTGACCTCGGACATGATGCCGCCATGACATACCTCGGAGTGTCGCCGTTCATCGCGGACGCGAAGTGCCTCTACGACGCCTCGCGGTCAGCGACGGCAGGATTGGGCATCGCAGAGAAGAGGACGGCCATCGAGGTGAAGATCGTGAACGAGCAGCTGGCAGAGGTCAACGCTAGGTGGAAGTGGGTGAACACCCAGCAGCAGATGGCAGACGGACTTACCAAGCTTTCGGCGCGCCAGATGATGGTGGATGTGCTACGCCGTGGAGTTCATGCCTTGCGCTGCGACCCTGACTTCGTGGCCGGCAAGAAGCTCGCCAAGCGTGCGATGGAGCAACGCGAGAAGAAGCTGGACCAGGCAGGAGAAGAGTTGCTCGACACCTTCGAGAAAGAGCCCGTGGCGAAGGCGAAGGCCAAGGCCAGGACGCGCCATTTTGGCGCGAGTGGAGCTCGTTTGGCAGCTACGTTGGCAGCTTCGGGAGCGACTGGCTCTGGAGCCGAGGTGGTGCAGTATACGCCCAGCGGCGTCGAGCTATTCCACCCACCGACCAACGACGGCTGGGACAACCTGCTGGCGAGGTTGGCCATGTTCGGATTCCTGACGGCGATGCTCATGGCTTTTGGCTGTGGATTCTGGGTCGGCACCTGCTGGACGCGCTGGACTACGACGAGCGCTGAGCAGAAGAGCATCAGGCCGCGTGAGCCTGAGACCGGGCCGACGGAGAAGCATTACGTCGAGGGGGCCGAGAAGATGACGACCGGTGTGAACACCAAGCAGCCATGCTAGAAGAAGGTGCGCCACATGATGTGTCAGGCGCAATGCCGCTACAACCAGGACACGCAGACGCCAAGGTTCCAGCCGCTGCCCGAGTACGCGCGCGGAGCTTTCATTGGATAGAGGACGACGAGGGGGACCCAGCCTACGGCTACGTGGCGGCGCTGTCGCATGAGTTGAGGTGCATCGAGATGCACAACTACGTGAGCGCCCACGAGGCGCGGACTTGCTTGCCTGGCGAGAGCGACCGATCGCCCCGCGTGCTGAAATAATTAAGGAGATGTATGTCGCCGACGCGACCGCCGGTATGTTTGACATTCGAGTTTTACTGGTTTGTGCAGGGGACCTGCGGTGACAGTGATGTCTATCTGTGTTTTGCTTCGGTCCCGTTCCCGAAAGCTTGGAGTTTTCAGCTTTTGTTTAGGTTTGTCGTTTGAGTCTCCTGGTAATCGTCCTGGGAACCCTGAGTTCAGGCAGCGTGGTTTGTAATGTATCTGTGCTAACTCCTTTTTCCGCCCGTGTCAATTCACCCGCGTTTCATTGAATTTTCATGTGTGTATGCTGTGTTCGTTTGCATTGATTATTAGCACAGTGGTTGATTATGTTTGGACCGCTGCCGTTTGATGTTCAGGGGCCCGTGAGTCATAGGAAAAGGTTGCGTGTTCTTTCCCAAATTATCGACATACTCAGATCACGTACATCCCGAGACAGACTTAGTGTGCTGCCATCGGTTGAGACGTTCGGAGGAGTGGGGAGTTCGAAGTTTTCGACCGTCTTCAGTCGTTTTCTGACATTTCCGAACAACTCCGCGGTGGTTTCCAGGAGCTGCGTCTCGGCGAGGGCATTCTGGGGGTGCCAGAAACGCCCCAAAAAGTAATTTCTGTGACCACATAACCCAGGCCTCGGGTAGATGATTTTCTTCAGTGCGGGCGTTTCCTGCCTCCCGCCCTCATGATGATGACGACGATTATTACGATGATGATGACGATGATGATGATGAGTATGATGATGCTGATGATGATTATAATGGTGATGCTGCTGCTGAGGATGATGCGGTTGACGATGATGATGGTGATGATGCTGGTGGTGGTGGTGATGATTATGAGGATGTTGAGGGCGAGTGTGACGAGGATGCGGATGAGGATGACGATGGCTTCGTCGACTACGACCAGGATGATGCTGATGAGGACGGTGATGATTTTGACGATGCTGCTGACGATGACGATGACGCTGCCGGTGCCGATGACGATGATGATGATGATGGTGACGGCAATGATGATGATGCTGATGATAATGCCGATAATGATGAAGATGATGGTTGTTGTGGTGGTGGTGATAATGGTGGTAGTGGTGGTGATGCTGATGATTCTGATTACGATGTTCATTACAAGGCGGATTATTGGGGTGACGCAACGTGTGATGATTATGGTGACTGTGTGGCGATGATGACAATGATGCTGCTGCTGGTGATGATGACGACGATGCTGATGATGATGATGATCATGCTGCTGATGATGATAAGGGTGATGCTGATGCTGAATTTGATGCTTATGCTGATGATGCTGGTGATGATGATCATGATGATTATCATGACGGTGGTCACGATGATGATGGTGACGATGACGACGACGATTTTGATGATGATGGTGATAATGATTCTGATGCTGATGATGATGATGCTGGTGATAATGGTGACGAGAGTGCCGATCATGTTGCTTATGGTGGTGATGCTGACGGAGATGATGATGATGCTGTGATGCTGGTCGGGTTTGTTGTTGTGGCGGTGGGGATGATGATGATACTAAGATGATGGGGATCATTCTGATGCTGATGATGATAGTGGTGGTGGTGACGACGACGACGATGGCGATGACGACGGCGATGCTGATGGTGATGATGATGATGATGATGATGATGATGTTGCCGATTATGATACTGTCGATGATGATCATCATGATGCTGCTGCTGATGATGGTGATGATGATGAGGAAGTTTCTGCTGCTGATGATGCTGATGCTGTTGATGGTGGTGCTGCTTATGCGATGGTGGTTGGGGTGACGATGATGCTGATGCTGATGTTTCTTTGATTCTGCTGATGATGCCGATGATGATGCTGATGATGGTGAAGATGATGTTGCTGCTGATTATGATGATGATGCGGATGGTGATGATGATGGTGCTGCTGATCATGCTGCTGGTGATGATGTTGATGTTACTGATGAGGATTAGTCGGAATATGATGATGCTGATGATGCTGGAGATGGTGATGTCGGTGATGGTAGTGGTGGTTCTGGTGGGTGTAGCGGTGGTGGTGGTACTGGTGATGGTGGTGATGCTGACGATGCTGATGCTGATGCTGATGATGGTAGTGGTGGTGATGATGCTGCTGATGATGACGGTGATGATGATGATGATGATGATGATGATGATGATGATGATGATGCTGATGATGCTGATGATGATGATGATGATGATGATGATGATGATGATGATGATGATGATGGGTGGTGGTGGTGGTGGTGGTGGTGGTGGTTGTGGTGGTGGTGGTGGTGATATGATGATGACGGGGATGAGGATGAGGATGATGATGCTGATGCTGATGATTATGCTGATGATGACGAAAGCGCGCCACTGGATCACCCTGTAATTGAAAAGGGGGGGGGTGCTCGCAGAACCACCCCCCTCCCCCCTTCAAAGGGGGGGAGATTTTCGACCCCCCCCTCCCCTCCCCCCCTTAAGAGGGGGGGGGTGGGTCCGGTCCCCCCCATCCTCCCCCCTTTGAAGGGGGGAAGGGGGGGTTCCGGACCCCCCCCCCCTGCCCCCTTGGCGCTGGAAGGGGGGGGGGTTCGAACCCCTCCCCCTCCCCCCCTTTGCGTCGAACAGGGGGCCGGGGAGGGGGCCTCTCCCGCAAGGGGTGGGAGCTGGCCTCGGGATAGTGAGTAAAGAGCAGTGAGTAGCGAGTAGTGAGTTGTGAATAGTGAGTAGTGAGTAGTGAATAGTGAGTAGTGATTAGATAGTAGCGAATAGTGAGGAGTGAGTAGTTTGTAGTGCATACTGAGTAGTGAGTAGTGCGCAGTGAGAAGTGAGTAGTGAGTAGTGAGTAGTGAGTAGTGGGTAGTGGGGAGTGGGTAGTGAGTAGTGAGTAGCAAGTAGTGAGTACCGAGTAGTTAATAGTGAGTAGCAAGTAGGGCACTGTGAGTAGTGAGTAGCGAGGAGGGAGTAGTCAGTAGCGAGTAGTGAGTAGGGAGTAGTGAGTAGCGACCAGGAAGTAGCGAGGAGTGTGTGGTGAGTAGTGAGTGGTGAGTAGTAAGTAGTGAGTAGTGAGTAGGGAGTAGTGAGTAGTGAGAAGTGAGAAGTGGGAAGTGAGTAGTGGGTAGTGCGTAGAGAGTAGTGACTAGAGAGTAGTGAGTAGTGAGTAGTGAGTCGTGAGTAGTGAGTAATCAGTACTGAGTAGTGAGTAGTGAGTAGTGACTTGTGACTAGTGAGTAGGGAGTAGGGAGCAGTGAGTAGTGAGTAGTGAGTAGTGAATGTAGCGTATCGGGTAGCGAGAGGCGAGTAGGGAATAGCGAGTACTGAGTAAGAGTAGTGAGCTGTGAGTACGGTGTAAGGAGTAGGGAACAGCGAATAGCAAGCAGCAGGTAGTGAGTAGTGAGTTGCGGGCATTGAGTAGTGATTCGTGAATTGTGAGTACTCAGTAGTGAGTAGTGGATAGTGGTTAGCGGGAGATAAGTAGTGATTAGTGAGTAGTGGTTAGTGAGTAGTGAGTAGTGGGTAGTGAGTAGTGTTTACGGAGTAGTGAGTATTGAGTACTGGGTAGTGAATGTGAGTAGTGAGTCGTGAGCTGGGAGTAGTGAGTAGGGACCAGTGAGTAGTGAGTAGTGGGTGGTGGGTAGTGAGTAGTGGGTAGTGAGTAGGGAGTCGTGCGTTGTGAGCAGTGAGTAGTGAGATGTGAGTGGTGAGTAGCGAGTAGCGAGTAGTGTGTAGCGAGTAGTGAATCATGAGTACTGAGTATTGTTTGGGGCTAGGTATAGGGTTTGGGGTTAGCGTTGCGGGTGGTCGGGGTGGTAGTGTTAGGGGTGGTAGGGGTCGGGTTCGGAGCTAGGGGGCGCCGTGTTGAAAGGGGGGGGGGTCGAATTCTAGACGCTTCGCGTATGCCCACCAATTTCGTACCGCGCCCTGGACGTCGTGTGCCCGCTCCCTGTCCCTCGCCTTGGAGCCGCGAACCAAACAACTATTCTCACCAACCCATCCAGAAACGATGTGCAGGCGAGTTGAGGTGGTCAGGGAAGTGCGGCAGCAAAAAGGGGGACGGCCGAACCGTGCAAAGGAGTGAGGAGGAGAAGGGGGAGATGGATGGATGGATGGATTAGGGAGTGGAAAGAAGGAGGGTGACTAGGATGAAGAGGCGGCAGAGGAGCAGGAGAAGGAGGAGGAGGAGGAGGAGGAGGAGGAAGAGTAGGAGTAGAAGGAGGAAGGAGGAACAGGAGGAGGAGGAGGAGGAGGAGGAGGAGGGCAAGCACAAGGGCCAGAGGTCTTTTGGATGCCCCTCGGAGCCTCTTGGGGTATCTCTTGGGCGATTCTTGGTGGCCTCTTGGGACGTCTTGGGGGTGTCTTCGCGATCCTGGGGGGCTCTTCGGGGTCTTGGGTGCTTCGGGGGGGCCTCTTGGGGCCGTTTGGGGTCTTCTTGGGGGCCTCCTGGGGGCCTCTTGGGCGCCTCTTGGGGCCATCTCGGGGCCATCTTGGGACCGCTTGGGGCATCCTGGAGGAGGAGGAGGAGGAGGAGGAGGAGGAGGAGGAGGAGGAGGAGGAGGAGGAAGAGGAGGAGGAGGAGGAGGAGGAGGAGGAGGAGGAGGAGGAGGAGGAGGAGGAGGGACCATGAGGAGACAGGATGAGCCTGAATGAGGAGGAGAAGGACGATGATGACGATGATGCTGATGATGATGATGATGATGATGATGCTGATGATGATGATGATGATGATGATGATGATGATGATGATGATGATGATGATGATGATGATGATGATGATGATGATGATGATGATGATGATGATGATGATGATGATGATGATGATGATGATGATGATGATGATGATGATGATGATGATGATGATGATGATGATGATGATGATGCTGCTGCTGCTGATGCTGATGATGATGATGATGATGATGATGATGATGATGATGATGATGATGATGATGATGATGATGATGATGGTGAGGAGGAGGAGGAGGAGGAGGAGGAGGAGGAGGAGGAGGAGGAGGAGACGAGGAGGAGGGAGGAGGAGGCGAAGGAGGAGGAGGAGGAGGGGGAGGGGAGGAGGAGGAGGGGAGGAGGAGGAGGAGGAGGAGGAGGAGGAGGAGGAGGAGGAGGAGGAGGAGGAGGAGGAGGAGGACCATCTCATGCTGAAGAGGAAAGCTAGGGTTAGGCCGACCCGACCCTAACCGAAACCTTGGGATTACATCCGTTCTCCCCTTACGCCCGTCTTCAACCCTACATCGCCGCCCCTTCATTGAGGAGTTGGGCTGCAGGGAAGAGCTGGGAAAGTCGGGGGCGGGCCTTCATAGTGTCCTTCGGATGACGGCCGCCTGACACCCGAGACCACGCACCTTCAGAGAACTTGCTTCTGAAGCGCTCACTGCATGCACCTCTGAGTCCTTTGAGGTTGCTCACCGAAAAACGGCCGCACCTCTTGCATATTATGAGAAAGGACTCGACATCGAGGAGGAGGAGGAGGAGGAGGAGGAGGAAGAGAAGGAGGAGGAAGGGGAGGAGGAGGAGGAGGAGGAGGAGGAGGAGGAGGAGGAGGAGGAGGAGGAGGAGGAGGAGGAGAGGAGGGAGGCGGAGGAGGCGGAGGCGGAGGCGGAGGCGGACGAGGAGGTGGAGGAGGAGGAGGAGGATGAGGAGGAGGAGGAGGAGGAGGAAGAAGAGGAGGAGCAGGAGGAGGGAGGAGGAGGAGAGGAGGGAGGAGGAGGAGGAGGAGGAGGCGGAGGAGGAGGAGGAGGAGGAGGAGGAGGAGGAGGAGGAGGAGGAGGAGGAGGACGAGGAGGAGGCGGAGGAGGCGGAGGAGGCGGAGGAGCAGGAGGAGGAGGAGGAGGAGGAGGAGGAGGAGGAGGAGGAGGAGGAAGAGGCGGAGGAGAAGGAGGAGGAGGAGGAGGAGGAGGAGGACGACGAGCAGGAGGCTTCCGAGGCTTCCGATTATACCACCCTTGTCTGTGGATGCTGGCGCGCAGGCCGAGGCGCCCCTACGTATGCAGAAACCGCCGTGCTGAGCCCAAACGCCCAGCGAACGAGTTGAATTTTCGAGCCGCACCCGGCAGAGGCGACGAAAAGCGCGCGAGCCGAAACCCGCGCCAGTTTTCCAAGCAGCGCCCGGCGGCGGCGATCTGGCCTCAGACGCTACCGCGAACGCCCCCCCCAGCATTTCGGCTTCAAGAGAAGTCGCTGCCGACCATGCCCAGGCGCTCGCAGAGGGCCTTGAAACGCCTCTTGGCCTCGCCGGTGTCCTTGCCAACCAGCTCGATGGCGGCTTTGGCCATGTCGTCGTGTCGTCGAACTCCTGCGTGAAGCGCTGCGCCTCCATGCAGTCGTGCTTGAGCTTGTCGCTGCACGTGTCGATGCACTGGTTCTCCTTGCTGACGTACTCCTGGGGGTCCGCGTCCGAACCCTCTTCAAAGCTAGCGACGAGTCGCGTCGGGAAAGGCGGGATCTCCGCGAAACCGTCGCCGTTGCCGTCCGAGCGGATGTCGAAAACCTGCGCGCCCGCGAAGGTGACCAGGCCAATGGACTCACCGTCCAGGTGGTCGTTCTCCTCGATGCTGTCCTTCTTGCCGTCATCGCCGATGGGGTCGCTGAACTTCACGAGCGATGGGCACAGCTTGCGCCATACCGAGAACGCGAAGTCCCGGACGTCCCTCTTGTACTGGTACTGGGGGGCGGCGCTGGAGTCTAGCGCCTGAACTGCATATCCACTTCCTCCAGAAGGGCCTCCACCACCATCTCCTTCGATGCCGCAGAGATCGCCGACCACCTGTTCCTCTTGGTCGGCGGCTGCTTCTCTATCTCCCTCGTCCCATCCGTCATGTACGGGTCCCAAATCACCGCCATGTCCTCTTGGTCCGTGTCGTTGGTGTCCACCACCTCGAACTGCTTCTGGTTGGGCTGCTGGGTCTGGCTGCTCTTGCCTCCTGCCGAACAGCTTCCTGGCGCTGTTGCGTTCCAGCAGGCGGGAGCTCGGCGCACAGCATGCAGTAGCCCCTGAAGCCGAAGTTCGGGAAGTGGCACTGCAGGCATCGCCAAATCGGGATGTGGTTCTTGTCCTTTGGCGGAGGCGCGGCCAATGTGATGTTCGCCTTGTTCGCCACGCCCTTGCTTTTGTCCTTGCCAAGCAGGAACTTCGCCCTGTCGTTGTTGATGAAGTCCCTCGTGGCGCACCTCCTCTCCTCTTCGAAGGCTGCCTGGTGCATCTCGAGCTCCTGCTCCGTCAGCTTCGCCACGATCCACGCTGTAGGACCGTCAGCTCGGGCCTGTCCTGGAAGCCGCACGCCTCCCAGTATTGCGTCTCCAGCGTGCCGAGGATGGTGCCGATGTCCTCCCGCTTCAGCTGGCTCACGGGGAGCTGGATCTTCATCAGGGCCACATGGCTGCCCTTGCGACTCGGCGGGGCGAAAGCCGCTGCGAAGCGCGCCCCGCCACGGGCCCCCTCGGGCCCCGCGGCGGCTACGAGGAGGAGGAGGAGGAGGAGGAGGAGGAGGAGGAGGAGGAGGAGGAGGAGGACGAGGACGAGGGGGAGGAGAAGGACGATGATGAGGAGGAGGAGGAGGAGGAGGAGGAGGAGGAGGAGGGGGAGGTGGAGGAGGAGGAGGAGGAGGAGGAGGAGGAGGAGCACGAGGAGCAGGGGGAGGAGGAGGCAGGAGGCAGGATGATGGGGGAGGAGGAGACAGGAGGACCGATGCAGGAGGACGAGGCAAGATATTGAAGAGGAACGAGGAGGAGCAAGCAGGAGGCAGCCTGTCCGAGGCGGGGTCCCCCGCATGCTCTTCTCACTTCCAGGTCTCCTACCTCCCCCTTCGGTTTCTGCAGCGGACTCGCTCCCATCGCAGAGAGGCGCACGAGGCTCCCGGGAGCGGCAGTCACCCCGCGCACAGGGTCCACAGCACCGCCCACCACAGGGGGCACCGCCGTCACCTCGCTCCCCCGTCTACTGCTGCCGCACCGCCAGCAGGGCTCCTCGAGGCTGCGCCTCCGCGTGCCAGCACAGCCGTGCACACTCCTCCCCTCCCGCCGCCGCGCGTGGCCCGTCGGGCTCCGGCGCTCGGCCGTGGCGGCGCCACCCTGCTCACGACCACCCTGGGGCAGCGAGTCCCCACGAGTGGCAGGCGCCCGGCGTACAGGACCCTCCTCCTCCTCCGCCTCCTCCTCCTCCTCCTCCGCCTCCTCCTCCGCCTCCTCCGCCTCCGCCTCCGCCTCCGCCTCCTCCGCCTCGCCGTCACTTCATTCATCCCGCTTCACAGCTGTCGCACCGCTCTTCAGGGCTCGTCGAGGATGCGCCGACGCATGTTGGTGCCGCGCCGGTGGCCGCGTGCGCTCCGCGAGCCGACTCTGATTCCCTTGCCCCGCACCTTCTCCACACATTTCACTTCAACGCAACTCACATGTTTGTGCTGCGTGCTCGGAGACGGCCATGCGTTTCCCGCAGAAGCGCACCGTGCTAGGAACCAGCTGCCTCTGGCAATGCCGCCACCGTGCAAACCCAGCATCCTGAGTGGCAAGTGCTTCAAGGATGTGCCATGGCCGCCCAGGGAGACTCAGGAGTAGGGGTGCAGCACGCAGCTGGGTGCGCTGAAAATGGTTGGTGCGCCCCCTGTAGAAAACTACAGAAACCCTGCCAGACAGCACCTTGCATTGTTCCACCCTTCGACGTGCCAGGTGGCACGGTGGCGGATGTCCCTCTGCGCCCCAGAGGAAGCTTGGGACGAGGGCGCGGAGGAGGAGGCGTGGGACGAGGGCGCGGGTGAAGAGTGCCCCCCCCTTTCGCCGCCCCCCCCGCGCTGACCTGGCGGTGATGCGGGCGCCGGCGGCGGCAACGACTGTCGGGAGGATTGAAATTGTTGACGCTTCGCGTATCCCCACCAGCCCATCCAGAAACGATGCTCAGGGGAGTTGAGGTGATCAGGGAAGTCGGGGAGCATGCAGAATAACAAAGGGCGGGGGAAGCTGTCACAGACCCCGAGAGGAGGAGGATGGAAGAGGAGTCGTCGTCGTCGTCGTCGGAGGAGGAGGAGGAGGAGGAGGAGGGGGAAGAGGAGGAGGAGGAGGAGGAGGAGGAGGACGGAGAAGGAGGAAGAATCGGAGGAGGAGGAGGAGGAGGGGAAGGAGCTTCTTGGGGGTCTTTTGAGGGCCTCTTGGAGGGCTTTTTGGGCGCCTTGGGGCATCTTGGGCGCCTCTTGGGACCCTCTTGAGGCGCTCTGGGGAGCCTTCGGGGCGCTTTTGGGGCCATCTTGGAGGGAGTCGATCAAACAAGAGGGGGGGTTTAATTAGCGTCCCCCCTCGGAAGCCCCTAAAATCGCCTCTTGGACCCCTCTTGGAACGCTCTTGGAGTGCTCTTGGGCGCTCTTGGGGCCGTCTTGGGGCTCTTTTGGGGCTCTCTTGGGGCCCTCTTGGGCCATCTTGGAGCCATCTCCAGGCCTCGGATGGCCATCGGAAGCGAAAAGGCGAGAAAGCAAAAATCATTGATTTTCCTTAGGTTTTGGGACGATTTTGGCCTCTTCGGGGCCTCCTTGGGGAGCTGTTTGGCCACTTGGAGTTATCTTGGGGCCGTCTTTGGGCTTCTTGGAACCATCTTAGGAGCCATCGTGAGCGATCTTGCGCTATCTTGAGCCATCTTGGAGCTCATCTTGGGTTCTCTGAGGCGCTCTTGGAGCCGTCTTGGGCCATCTTGGACGCTCTAACTACCCGCGGCCCCCCCCGTCCAGGTCCAGGGGAGGGGGTAGGGGGAGGGGTAAACCCCTCCCCAAGGGGGAAGAGGGAGGGGTGGAAGAGGATCTGCTCTAGACCACCTACGCCCAGAGGGCTGGTGGGATTTTGGGCGACGATAGTGGGGGATAGGCATGGGGAAGATGCATCAGCCTCCAATCGCCCATTGATCGCCGATAGGGGCCCGATAGCCCCAACCTGCCCAGGAGGGTGCGGATTCACTATCGGAGGCCTATCGGTGATCTATCGTCGACGTATAGCCGATGCCAGGTCGATGTGTCCCCCCCTTCTGCCAGCCCCTTTCATACCGTTTCCCCTCATGAACTCGGTGCGGAAAGACTCGGTCGGTGGCGCGCTGAGGGTGCAAGTGAGAAGGAGAAGTCCTTCGCAACAGGCGACGGGATTTCTCAGAAGCCCTCGCGTTTTGAGAAGCTTGCTGCGTCTTCGGTAGAGGATCAGACACTGTTAGCCAGCGTGGGCCTCGAGCAGTGTGTGTTCTAGCGACGTATGTGGTGTAATCTGGGTGGTGCAATCCACTTTGGCTGTCTTGAAACTGTCCTCTCCACTGCTCGCGCAAACATCCTACCCACCCACCCGCAACTTGGTTCGCAAAACCTATTAAGACCGACTACGACGACACCGACGACAACGACTAGGACGACACCGACGACGTCTCCGACGACTTCGACGACGACAACGACGCCGACGCCGACGACGACGAAGACGACGACGACGCCAACGAAGGCGACGACGAGGGAGGAGGAAGGACGACGACGGCGACAACGACGACAACGAAACAACGACGAGGGAGGAGGGAGGACGGCGACGACGCGAACGACGACGAAGGAGGAAGGACGGCGACGCCGACGACGACAACGACGAGGGAGGAGGGAAGGACGACGACGACGACAACGACGACGACGACGACGACGGCGACGAAATAAGAGGGACGACGACGAGACGCCGACGACGGACGACGACGACGACGAGGGAGGAGGAGGAAGGACGACCACGGCGACAACGACGACGGAAACGACCACGACGCCAAAGAGGACGACGACGACGAACACGAGGAAAGACCGAGGACGACGTAGGCGACGACGACGACGACGCGGGAGGAGGGAGGACGGCGACGACGACGACGACGACGACGACGCAAGAGCGCGCGCGCACGCTTTTGTTGAAGATCCGTGTTGCGAAACCCTGGGTTTTCGTAGGTTTTTTGGACGCGCGATTTCGAAATCCTTCCGAAACCGATGGGTTTTGAAGGATTTCGGCGTACGCGCGCGACGACGCGCGCGTCTGCACTTCGTCCCATGTTGTTGCAGAGGATTCTCGCGACGGCACACGCGCAAGGGCGTTCGACGGATTTCGACATGCGCGCGCGCATTTTATGAAAATCTTGAAAAAACCAATGGTTGTCTTCAGATTTCGCAAGAGCTCGCGCGGAAGCTTTTTTAGCAAATCGTTGTTGCGAAACCATGTGTTTTTGTATTTTTTTGGGAAGTCGATTGCAAAATCCTTCCGGCACCGAAGGTTTTTGAAGGATTTCGGCATGCGCGCGCGACGACGCGCGCGTGTGCACTTCGTCCTATTTTTTCAAAGGGATTCATGAAAAAGCGTTATGTTAGAACAGAAAATGTCACGGCGTAGTGTATTTTTACAAGGGAACCTCAGGGGGGGGAAACCGGCCTAGCTGGGATGATATGATTTCATATTTAGGATGGACGAGTGTGCATTTTTTGTTTTTAAATTATATATATATAAAGATATATATATATATATGTATGAAATGATATTATCCCAGGGGGAAGCGTTCAGTCCGGGAGGGGGGTAGAGTCTATTCTCTTCTTAGAAAGGAGCATTCATGTGGAGCACTCAGTGGGGTGCTATCCATGTTGTGCAATGTATATATATGTAACACTATATATTTTTAGAGTTTTTGTGCAATCTGTGTGGTGCGATCTGCATGGTGCAATCTATGTGGTGCAAACATTGTGGTGTAAGCTATGTAGGGCAGTCTATATGGTCAAAATTTGTTGGGCAGTCGATGTGGTGCAACATATGTTGTGCAACCTATGGTGCAATCTGCGTGGTGCAATCTATCGGGGGCAATTCACCAATGCCCAACTTGAAATTATCCATTCCACTGCTCGGGCAAACATCCCACCTACCCCGTGCAGCTTGGTTTGCAAACCCCATGCGGAAACGATTTCGATGAGTGCTTGGTGTTGGCTGGTGCATCTCTGCGCGGCCCGCGCATGCTCGCGCGCGCGCGCAGCGGCCAGCTAGTTTGGCGCGACCGATGCGAACGCGGTGGCGCCGACCGCTCGGCACATCCCAGCGGGCATTGCAGTGCGAGTCGGCGACTTGGGCGGGCGCGGTATCATGGCAACGTCGACGCCGGTAGACACGACGATGCTAGTAACGATGCCTGTGTCGATGCTGACAGCGACGACGGGGCAGCGAGTGACGGCGCCGATGCCGATCACGCCGACGACGATGACGGCGTCTTCGCGTCGGTGATGAAGGTTTTGGATGGAATTTGGAGTGCGCGCGCGGCACACGCGCGAAAGTGGCTTGCATGGTTTTATTTGACACGGAACGTGCCACCCCAGCACGCGCGCAAGGGTGTTCGAACATTCTTTAAAATATGTTTTTTGGCCACTCGATTCTAACACCCTTCCGAAACCGAAGGTTTTTGAACATGTTCGGCATGCGAGCGCGACGACGCGCGCGTGTGCACGTCGCCATTTTTTGCAAGGTTTGTTTCTTTGGACAACTTATGCTATTTGATAAACGAGTGTGCGCGCGTACTTTTTTTGAAAGGGAACCGAAGGGGGGCCGAGACCGGCTTAGTTGGGATAGCATGAATTCGCAGGTCGGATGGACAGTAGGTCCGGATCGTATGTGTTTTGCATCGGTCCACGGTGGGTGGATCAGTCTGGGGGGAGGGAGGGTTGTAGAACCTATTTTTTCAAGAACGGAAAACCAATGTGTTGCAATCTATGTCGCGCAGTCTAGATGGGCCGCGACGAGGCGGCGACGGGGCTGCGGAGGCGGCAGTATACCCGCCATGCCGACATCAGGCCCAGACGACGGGCGGCGGCGACGGCGGCAGCATAGCCGCCAGAGCGGCAGACAAACCCAGACGAGGCAGTGACGGGGTGGCTTCGGCGCAACGTAGCCGCCATAGCGGACGGCAGGCGCAGACGACGGAAGGCGACGAGGCGACGACGGGGCAGTGATGGCGGCAACATAGCCGCCAGAGCGGCAGTCAGGCCCAGTTCCTTAGAGCAGAAGTGAACAGCCCTAAGTGCAAACAGTGTTTGAGGAGTCTCAGAAGACCGGAGGCCTTCCGAGCCTTCTTAGAAGGCCCGCCCCTCTTACTTCCCGTGGGCGCGTCGCCGATTGGGGGCGAAGACCAACAGCAGTTCCTGTCCATCTGGAGCAGGGCCCAACGTTGGCGCCACCGCAGACGTTGTCCATTAGAGCGATGGGGGTTCCTGCCCAGCACCGGCCACGCGCGTAGGGGGGAGGGGGGGAAGGGGGGAACTGCATCTCCGAAGCGCCCCTGCTTCTCGGAAGGCGCGGGCCATGCCTGCAGATGTGGGGCCGGTGCCCTCGAAGGGGAAGGCTCCTTCCCAGAAGCCTTTCCCCCCCCTTTGCGCGTGGCCCAAATTAAGTTCGGTGGCGCGAGAAAAATGCACGTGAAAAAAAGTTCGGTGGCGCGCCGCCGACCGCAGCGGTCGGTGTCGGTCAGGGACGACATGTGCTGCGGGGCATCGCGTCGACTTGTGGGGCGTGCCAGGAGGGGGCGCCACCACTCCTCGCGTCCGGTTCGCCACGACCGTCGTGGGCGTGCCGGGATCGGGGCGCGGTTCCGTCGGGGAGTCGGCCCAGGCCCCTCCCGGATCCAGGCCCCCCCCCATCCAACGGGGGTGGGGTCCGGTTCCAAACCGCCCCCTTCAAGCAACCACACAATGCGCTCTTTCTAAGGAATCGCATGGATTTCCAACGGGATCCGATAGATTGCCTAAGGAATCCGATGGATGTCCTAAGGGTTCCCGAAGAAATCTTATGGATCTCCTCCGGAATCCTGTGGATGTCCTAGGGATTCCGATAGATATGGCCCCCCGGAGTCAAGAAGGCAAACCACGACGGAAGGCTTCAGCCACATTCGGCCTCCTGGGGGCCCTCACGGGGCCTCGGGGCCGGCAAGCAGTGGCTCGGGATGACCAGGGATGGGCCCAGAGCTCCAGGGGCCCAAGGGGCGAACAAAACACGCAGGGTCTGGGATCCTTTGGGTTAGGTTGCCGCTCGACGTCTCTTCTCAATGTGTGTGCGTGCCTGCAAAAGCTCGCCTGACCAGCTGCTGTAGCCATCCCCGCGCGCGCTTTCCGATCCTGCGCAGCGCTTATCTCTGACAAGCCAAGGCCGCCGGACTTCTGAGTTCGTGGCTCGCTCGGAAAAAAAAAAACACGCGGGGGCCCGAGGGGGCGCGTGCGCGACTCCTGGGCCTGGGATTGGCCTGGCCAGGGGCGGCGCACAAGATGTACGTGGATCTCACCGCCCCCGAGCGGGGGGAGACCGGGAGGGGGGGAGGGACGACATCGGCTGCATGCAGCTGGTCTCGGCTCCTTCTCCTCCTCCTCCTCCTCCTCCTCCTCCTCCTCCTCTCCTCCTCCTCCTCCTCCTCCTCCTCCTCCTCCTCCTCCTCCTGCGTTCAGGCGATCGCAGACATGGATCAAGGGGGTGTGGATTAGCGACGGGTCCCGTTTCCACAGGAAAAATCGCGGATTCCCGCCGCCGAGCGGGGCGGCACCAGCCGCAGTCTGGAGAGGGCACCTGCCCCGACCCATGGATTTGGCGGCCGCGCGCCGAATCCGTGGATCGCCAATCCGTGCTTGCGCGCTCCCGATTCGTCGCCGCTGTGGCCCAGGCGATCCAGGCCAAACTTGTGCAAGCCGATCAGCCCACGAAGCCGCGACAGACCCGATCGGTGAACATGGCCCGGATTGCCGCCCGCCGCCTTCTGGCCCTGGGGGCCGCCGCCGCCCTGGCGCTGCAGCTGGCGCCGTCGGCCTTCGTGCCGGCGCCGCAGCCCACCGGCGTCAGCGCCGTCGTAGCGGGCGCCGCGGCGGGCTACCTGACGTCGCTGCCCGCCGCGCTGGCGCGCATCCCGGGCGGCAAGTTCGAGAAGGCCAAGGACATCACGATGCCGGCCCCGCCCGAGGACGGCCTGACGGACGCGCAGGTCGCCCTCTCGCTGTTCGTGGCGCTCCTCCTGATGTTCGCCAACATCAAGGTCTCGCAGGCGCTGTGGGAGGGGCCCCGGGTGGACCGCTTCAGGGACGGCCAGACCAAGGGCTACATCACCCCGCTCGTCAGGCGCCTCGACAGGTTCGGCTTCTGAGCGCCCTTCTGCTCCTCCTCCCGCTCCCACTCCCCGCTCTCCTCGCGATCTCGCGATCTCGACGCGTGGGCAGGGTAGCGTCAAGTCGGGCCTGTCCCTCTACAGGAGGAATCTTCAAACATAGTCCCAAAATAGTCTGGGGACTCTTTTGTTGAGCATTTCTTTGACCATTTTGGAGCATTTCTGGACTATTTCTTATTTTTCGTCGAACATCCCCCTGTAGGGGGACAGGCCCGACCTATGCGCAGCGGTTGCCGCCGCGGGTCGCCGCACGGCCGACCCGGGCGGCGAGGGGCGGCCGGTCCGTCGGCCGGCGCCGCCCGCCGCGGCGCGCGGCCCGCGCGGGCGGGCGCCGCGCCGCCGAGTTTCCAGAGGTTTTTAGTCTGAGAGGTGCCGGCGAGCCCCTCCGCGCAGAAGAAAAATTAGCCTGACGAAGGACCCAACCATACGTAGTTGCGAATACCGCAATTGTGGATATATTCCTCGGTGGCGCTCCCCATGGGGCCACGAACCGCCTGCAGGGCGTGCCGAAATGTGTGGCGGGGGTACACAACGCGAAGGAAGATTATAGTTCTGAGTCCGGCGAGCCCCTCCGCGCAGAAGAAACAAAAAAGGTTGACGCATGGCGTAGGTTCAAGTCGGGCCGGTCCCTCTCCAGGAGGAATCTACGCAAGCATAGTAACAAAAATAGTCAGGGGACGATCTCTTGATTATTCCCGATCCTCCTTGGTTGGGTATTCGTTTTGACTAGAGCACTGCGGTCTCCAGTCCTTCTCCTCCTCCTCCTCCTCCTCCTCCTCCTCCTCCTCGTTCTCCTCCTCCTCCTCCCGCCTCCTGTCTCCCGCTCCCCTCTTGTCTCCTCTTGCTTTGTGCGGATCTCGCCATCCCCGGGGGGGCTGCGATCTGCGAAACTGTCGCCACTTTCGAGGGCTGCTGGAGAGGCCGTACCTGGGGGGGGGGGCTGCGATCTGTTACACTGTCGCCACTTTCGAGGGCTGCTGATGGGTCCGGCGGAGTGAGGCACCGTGGGGATCTGAGCGGGACCTCGCCGTCACTGGGGGGCTGCGATCTGCGACATTGTCGCCACTTTCGAGGGCTGCTGGTGGGTCCTGCGGAGCGAGGCACCGCGGGGATCTGAGCGGGTCCTCGCCGTCCCTGGGGGGCTGCGATCTGCGACACGGTCGCCACTTTCGAGGGCTTCTGGTGGGTCTTGCGGGGTGAGGCACCGGGGGGACCTGAGCGGGACCTCGCCGTCCCTGGGGGGCTGCGATCTGCGACACGGTCGCCACTTTCGAGGGCTGCTGGTGGGTCCTGTGGAGCGAGACACCGCGGGATCTGAGCGGGACCTCGCCGTCCCTGGGGGGGCTGCGATCTGCGACATTGTCGCCACTTTCGAGGGCTGCTGGTGGGTCCTGCGGAGCGAGGCACCGCGGGGTGGGTCCTGCTGCGAGCGGTCGCCCTGCGGAGGATCTGAGCGGGACCTCGCCGTCCCTGGGGGGCTGCGATCTGCGACATTGTCGCCACTTTCGAGGGCTGCTGGTGGGTCCTGCGGAGCGAGGCACCGCGGGGACCTGAGCGGGACCTCGCCGTCCCTGGGGGGCTGCGATCTGCGGCATTGTCGCCACTTTCGAGGGCTGCTGGTGGGTCCTGCGGAGTGAGGCACCGCGGGGATCTGAGCGGGACCTCGCCGTCCCTGGGGGCTGCGATCTGCGACACGGTCGCCATTTTCGAGGGCTGCTGGTGGGTCTTTCTAGCGAACCGCGTTAGCTGCGATCTCAGCGAGGCGCACCGCGGGGATCTGAGCGGGACCTCGCCGTCCCTGGGGGGCTGCGATCTGCGACATTGTCGCCACTTTCGAGGGCTGCTGGTGGGTCCTGCGGAGTGAGGCACCGCGGGGATCTGAGCGGGACCTCGCCGTCCCTGGGGGGCTGCGATCTGCGACACGGTCGCCACTTTCGAGGGCTGCTGGTGGGTCCTGCGGAGTGAGGCACCGCGGGGATCTGAGCGGGACCTCGCCGTCCCTGGGGGGCTGCGATCTGCGACATTGTCGCCACTTTCGAGGGCTGCTGGTGGGTCCTGCGGAGTGAGGCACCGCGGGGATCTGAGCGGGACCTCGCCGTCCCTGGGGGGCTGCGATCTGCGACATTGTCGCCAATTTCGAGGGCTGCTGGTGGGTCCTGCGGGGCGAGGCACCGCGGGGATCTGAGCGGGACCTCACCGTCCCTGGGGGGCTGCGATCTGCGACATTGTCGCCACTTTCGAGGGCTGCTGGTGGGTCCTGCGGGGTGAGGCACCGCGGGGATCTGAGCGGGACCTCGCCGTCCCTGGGGGGCTGCGATCTGCGGCACTGTCGCCACTTTCGAGGGCTGCTGGTGGGTCCTGTGGAGTGGGGCACCGCGGGGATCTGAGCGGGACCTCGCCGTCCTTGGGGGGGCTCTGGGGAGCTGCTGTGGAACACGTTAGGCGCAACGGGCGCATGGCACAGCCAACGGGGGTGATTTGTGAAACAGACCATCTGCCGGGCGATGGCCATAACGTTGCGCCTACACGTATCTCGCGGGGGCTCTCAAGAGCTGCTGTGAGATACGTTGGGTGCAACGGGCGCATGGCACAGCCAACGGGGGTGATTTGTCATTACGTAGCCCTTAGATCGTGATCGGGGGCCTGCGAGCCTTCCGATTGCTGCTCGCAAAATCACATGCGTCCATGCTACGTCATAGCCCCCGTTGTAACAATCCTGATGTACTTCTGCCCCGCATGGCGCAAGGGTTGGGTACGTCGCCAGGGTATTTTTTTTGCCCATTTGGGGGGTATTTTTCGAGTATCTTTTACTTTTCCCCCAAGATCCCCCTGTAGGGGGACACGCCCGACTTAAGCGTAGGTCCGCCGGAGGCCCCCCAAAACGGTGTCGTGACCACACCGTGCGGTGGGCCCGTGTGGACTCGGGGTCACCGCACGGTTCTGGGGCTCGGGTGCCTCTCCGAGGCGGTCTCGGGCGACAGGGGCCTCCAGGGTCTCCGGACCGTGCGGCGGCGGACCGTGCGGTGAGGTCTCTTGGGGTTCCGAGGTCACCGCACGGCCTGTCACCGCACGGTTTTGGGATCCGCCCATTCGGACACGGTGCCCCGACAGACTTGCAGCCGTTCCGCGAGAGCTCGTGAGCAGGCCGAGCAGGCCCAGGAGCGAGGCGCGCATGACACCGCATGGTCAGAGGAGGGGGGAGGACGAGGGATGACGAGGAGAGAGTCGAGAATGGCCTGGCTGTTCGTCTGTGTGGCGGCTGTGACGCCTCTCTTCGTTGGAGGGGGAGGAGGAGGACCAGTACAAACCCAAGACGCATCAACCACGTTGCAACAACCGCCGCCTCCAAGTTCCCTCTTCAAACATCCATGCAATTATTTATTATCCCACCAGCCCCCTGGGCGCAGGTGGTCTAACGAGATTCCTCTTCCCTCTTCCAAAAAACCCCTCATCCGCTACGGGGAGGGGTTTACCCCTCCCCTTACCCCTCCCCTGGACTTTTTTTCGGGGGCGCGCGAGGTGTCAGGGCGTCCAAAACGGCCTCAGCGAGGAAGGTTTTGCTCTACTTTGGCCTCTTTGGTTTTACTAAGAGGTTTTGGCTTTACTTTGGCGTCCAAAATATAGTCCACAATCATTGGTTTTACTGAGGTTTTGGCTTTATTTCGGCCTCTTTGTGGGCACTGAACTTTATCCCACCAGCCCTCTGGGCGCCCAAATCATTGGTTTAACCACGGTTTTGGTCCCATATTGGTCTCTTTTGGGTGGGGGCTGAACGTTATCCCACAAGCCCTCTGGGCGCCAAATTCATTGGTTTTACTAAAGTTTTGGTTTCATTTTGGCCATTGGGACCTTATACCATCTCCTCCTTTGATCGATGGCCTTCAAGATGGCCCCAAGAGGCCTTCCAGGGCTCCCAAGAGGGTCCCAAGAGAGCCCCAAGGGCTCCAAGAGGGCCCCAAGACTTAAAAGAGCCCCAAGAGAGCTCCAATACCCTCCCAAAGAGCCCCAGGAGAGCTCCAAGAGGCGATTTTGAGGGCTCTAGGGAGGGGGCCGAAATCGAGGACCCCCCATCTTTTGATCGATGCTCTTCTAGATGGCCCCAACCGGCCTTTCAGGGCACCAGCTGCAGCACCAGCAGAGGCAGCAATAATATTAGCAGCACCAGCAGCAGCAGCAGCAGCACCAGGGATCGCACTCTTTGGATCCCTCCACCTCCTTTTTTTCCTCCTCCTCCTCTTGCCCTCGCCCCCACGCGGCCCCAAGGGTTGGCCCGAAGAGGCCTTCCAAGGCCACCCCCTTGCTCCCAGAGATCTCTCGGTTCATCCTGGTTGCTCGCTTTGTTTCCCTAGACGTGTCCCTTCGTCCCTTTTCTCGTCAGCTCTCGTGGGCAGGGCTTCTGAATGGGCCGGTGGGGATACTTTGAGTCGCAGCTGCAGGCGAGCGCGCCGACAGCGTCAGTAGAGTAGCACGGACTGGTGGGGATACGCTTTTTTGGTCGCAGCCGCAGACGAGAGCGCAAGCGGCGAGTCGTAAATCCGAGGCGCGGGCCTACTAATTAAAACAGAGCAAGCTAGAGCGGCGTAACCTAAACAACTAGCTGCCTAACTGGTGGGGATACTTTTTCGCGGCCGCAAGCGAAGAGGCAGGCGGCGGGCAGGGAGTCCGGGCAAATGGGCAAGCCCAATCAGCTACGGGAGGCACAAGCCGGCCGGCCCACTCACAAAGCAGCCGCGAAGCTGCAAGGGGACTGACGGCGGGGGGCATCCTGGGAGCTCGAGCGCGTGCACAGGACAAAATGTCGAGGAATTCGATGCCTGACATGAGGCACGGCCCACAGTAACGAGACGGGTGTGGTGGGGATACGCGAAGCGTGAAGAATCATTGCGGGACGTGACCCGTTGAAAGACAATCGCATGATAATCTTCAACAGTGCCAAAGCACAATCCCTGGGACTCCAACGCTGCGACTCAGCGTGAGATTTTCGTCCTGACAATCCTAACTCGCGCTAGGATAGCATTCCTGGGATTTCAGGCCAATCAACGCGACTGTTGTGTCCTGGCAATCCTAACTTGAGCCAGAACGCAAATCCAGAGAGTTCAACCCCACGATTCCTTGAACGTTCTGAACTTGTAAGACGGCTGTGCGCGGCGCTTAGGCTAGAACCGCATTCTGAAAAAGGATCCGGCCTCGATCTTACACTCCATTGCAATTTTTACAAACGAATGTGAATGTGCGCTGCGCTAAGGCGAAAGCCTCATTTTGGAAATGAGCCGGCCTCAATTCTGCACTCTGTTGTACGCATGTGCGCGGCGCCAAGGCGCGATCTTCATTATCAAAAACACTTGTGCTCTAATTTTGAAGCTGCTGGAAATCTTCAGACGAATGTGCGCGGCGCTCAAACGAGAGCCACATTTTGAAAACGAGCCCCTTCCATCATAGAAACTGTTGCAAATCAGAGATGCTGTCACGATCAGAAGAAGAACTGGCGAGGAACTCTCAGGCGAAACGCCCGGCCCGTCCTATCCACGCGTCCGGGAATGCGACAGGGCGAAGTCATTGACCATCGAAAGGATGGGTGGATGGAAGGAGGAAGCGAGGAGAGGAGGAGGAGGAGGAGGATGGAGGGGGAGGCCACCTCAAAGGCCATGTTGCAGGAGATTGCAGAAAGGCGCCTCCCTTGGGGCCATCTTGGGGTACTGTTTGAGGGCTTTGAAGCCCTTTTGGGGCTCTCTTGAGGCACGTTTGGGAGCCTTGGTGGCCCTCTGGGGGCTCTCTTGGGGGGCCCGAGGCAGCGTTGGAGGCCCTCTTGGAGCCATCCAGGAGGGCATTGATCAAAGAGATAGGTCCCTTAACAGCGGCGCCCCTTGAGAGCCCCTCAAAAAGCCGTTCGGATTGGGACGCTTGTGGAGCGCTGGGCCCTCTTGTGGCCCTCTTGGGCTATCTTGCAGCCATCTTGAGGCTTCCAAGGCCCATCGGACGCGAAAAGGCGAGAAGGCCAGCCTCATTGACTTTCCTTGTTTTGGAGCTCCTTGGAGGTCTCCTGTGGAGGCTCCGTGGCCACTTGGACCCGTTTTGGAATGGTCTTGGAGCTTCGTGGAGCATGGTGTAAGCCATCTTGAGCCATCTGGATCTATATTGTGTCACCGTCTAGGCCATGTTGGGCTATCCGGGGCAATCTTAGAGCCATCTTGGGCCATATTGGACGCTCCAACGATCCGCCGCCCCCCCCCCCTTCCAGACCCAGGGGTCGGGGGTAGGGGGAGAGATCGAGCCACCCACAAGCGGCGAGCCGTCCCGCCCATTCCAACCCGCTCGCTCAACATACAGCAGCACCCGAGTACCAGCATCATCGACAACCATCGGGAACCAAAGTAGACGCCAGCCAGGTGCGCGAAGTCCGCGAGGTGCGCCGCACATGCCAGGTGATCCACATTGGGAAATCTGTCGATCCTGCCGCCATCGTGGTGAATAAACAGTGCAAATTGACGGGGCGGGTTTGCGAGTATTGTGTGCTGTGCGTGGGTGTGCACCCATCTTTAATTTGGGTGTGTTTTTGACAGGGATGTCTGGCCTGCGCGCATCAGGCAGTATGCCGTTCCTCCCGTCTTCGCTGGCAAAGTGAACTCAGAGGGATGGTGGGCCTGCACGCAGCAGGCAATATTCCAGCACCGTTGTCATCGTTTTTATGTTTTTTGTTGTTGCGCGTGATCCAGATTTTGGTGCAACGTGCATCTCATACTGTTTTATGTGGGTAGGGATGGTGTGGGGGGTCGGCATTGTACACAGCAGGCAACATGCTGGCCCTGCCGCCGTCCCTGTCAAAAGCCAGTGCTAAGTGATCGCGGGGCGTCCGCGCATGATCCAGATTTTGGTGCAAAGTGCATTGTCAATGTTTTTTGCAAGGGATGGTGGGGAGTGGTGTTGGCATTGCACACAGCAGGTAATATGACGGCACCCCGTGGAGCTTGCCAAAAACCAATGCACAGTAGTCATTGGGCGTCTGCGCATGATCCAGATTCTGGTGCAAGGTGCACTTTGTGTATAGTGTTCTTCAGAAAAGGATTGGTGTGGGGGGGTGCCCGCAGTATCCCGGGCATGTCGCCAGTTGGGTGGGGGAGGGGGTGTCTATTTATTAGGAACTGGGATCAAGTTTCCAGCGAGAACGTCGCAGGATGTCTTGTCTTGGTAATTCCGATCCGCCTTCCCACTTCATGAGTAAGGCACAGCAGTAGCTTCAGCACCAGACTCCAACACTGCTTCCTGTCCAATGGAGAGCGGCAAGCGTGACGCCACGCAGCCCACTCAGGACACCAAGCAGCGCACTCATAGCCACGACAACAAGTAGCACATCTCTCAAAGGGCGACGTTGGCGGGGATCACCGCCGGCCAGATTACTGATCCCTACCACCCAGGACACAGGAGGAGGAGGAGGAGGAGGAGGAGGAGGAGGAGGAGGAGGACGAGGACGAGGAGGACGAGGAATACGAGGAGGAGGAGGAGGAGGAGGAGGAGGAGGAGGAGGAGCTAGTAGTAGTAGTAGTAGTAGTAGTAGCAGCAGCAGCAGCAGCAGCAGCAGCACAGCAGCAGTAGTAGTAGTAGTAGTAGTAGTAGTAGTAGTAGTAGCAGCAGCAGCAGCAGTAGTAGTAGTAGTAGTAGTAGTAGTAGTAGTTAGTAGTAGTAGTAGTAGTAGTAGTAGTAGTAGTAGTAGTAGTAGTAGTAGTAGTAGTAGTAGTAGTAGTAGGAGGAGGAGGAGGAGGAGGAGGAGGAGGAGGAGGAGGAGGAGAGAAGACGGAGGAGGAGGAGAAGGAGGAGGAGGAGGAGGGAGGAGGCGGAGGAGGAGGAGGAGGAGGAGTTCCCGATTCGGTATCTTTGCTGATCGTTCCTTCCCTCCTGGCCAGGTACCAGGAGGAGGGGGCTGACGCGGAGGTCGCCGCCCCGGCCCCGAAGCGGCAGAAGGCGGCCTGATGGGGGACGGGCTTCATCCGTTCTCTCTCCTCTTTCCGCCGTCCTTCCTCCTCCTGACAGGTCACCTGTGCTGCTAGCAAGCTCAAGCTGCAGAAGCAGCGCGCAGAGCTCGTCGATCCCCCGAGGGTTTTCGGCCTGCCGCTCCACTGCGAAGCCTTGTCTTGTCTCCTCCCTCTTCTCCTTCTTCTTCTTTTCCTTTTTTCCCCTCCTCTTGTACAACTGCTCGGCATGAGCGTGCCAGCCAGCGTACGTAGACCCCAGGCTGTAAGTTATCGCAGTGAATGTGTAAGCTACTCTAGACGCTTCGCGTAACCCCACCAGCCCATCCAGAAACGATGTCCACGCGAGTTGCCCTGACCAGGCATGTGGGCGAGGACGCAGTGAAATAAAGGCCAGGAATCCGTAGTACCTCAAGAGGGGGACGATGGAGGATTAACCAGATGATGATGATGATGAGGAGGAGGAGGAGGAGGGGAAGGGGGAGGGGAGGGGGAGGAGGGAGGAGGGAGTAGGGAGAAGGGAGGAGGAGGATTAAGCGGATGAGGAAGAGGAGGAGGAGGAGGAGGAGGAGGAGGAGGAGGAGGAGGCGGAGGAGGAGGAGGAGGAGGAGGAGGAGGGCGAACAGAAAGGGCATAGGCCTGTTGGAGGCTTCTCGGAGTCTCTTCGGACGTCTCTTGATTGAGAGCTTCTTGTGGGCCTGTTGGGGAGTTTTTGGGGTCCTCTGGAGGGGGTCTTGGGGGCCTCTGGAAGCGTCTTGGGTGCTTCGTGGGAGCCTCTTGGGGCCTCTTGGCGGCATCTTGGGGGCATCTTGAGGTCATCTGGGGGCATCTTGGGGGCATCTCGCGGCCTGCTTGACGCCTCTTGTTGCCCTCTTGGGGCACTCTTGGGAGCCTCGGGGACCGTCTTGGGGCCATCTTGGAGGTGTTCGATCAAAGAAAGGGGGGTACTCAAGTAGGCTCCCCCTCCCAGGAGGTCAAATGGCTTTCTCGCCGAGGCCTTCTTGAACGCTCTGATGGGTCGCGACCCCCTCAGTCCAGGTCCAGGGGGAGGGGGGAGGGGGAGGGGTCAAGACACCCGCCCGCAAGCTATCTCGCTCACTCCCATCCGCCCTCCCAACACATAAGTAGCACCGGGGCCTCAGCATGCTCAGTTGTCGTCTATGGATAGGCAGCTGCTGGGAACCAATACAGACCCCATGTGCGCGATGGGGCGAGGTGCGCCACGCGTGCCAGGCGCTCCTCTGCGCCAGGCGGGGCCCAAGCGTGCCAGGCACGCCTTGCGCGCCAGATGCGCCACGCGCTCCACGTGCGCCAAGTGTGCCTCATGGTCCAGCCGCGCCAGGTAAGCCACGTCCAGGGCACGCGCAGAGTGTGCCAGGTGCCTCCGCGCACGTGACAGCACGCATCAGGAAACATGTCGCTCCCCACCATCGTCCTCGAAAGCCAGTGCACAATCGCGAAGGGCACGGTATCATGGTGTCTGGTGGGCTTGCACATAGCAGGCAATATACCAGCATCCCCGCGGTCTTTGCCAAACACCACTGGGCAGTCATCGTGGGGTGGCCGCGCATGATCCAAATTTAGCCGCGAAGTGCATGCTGTATTGTTTAAGACAGGGATGGTAGCCTTGCGCAAAGCTGGCAATATGAGGGATCGCCGCGCCGTCCCGGTCAAACAACAATGCAAAGTGCTCGCGGGGTCCCAAGAGGATGACGCAAGATTTTGCCCAAAGTGTGTCTTCGTATTGGTTTTGACAGGAATGGGTGGGCGGTAGCATTGGTCCTGGTTGGCTGACGGTCGCCTGGGGGAGGGGGTGTTCAATATTTGGAAACAGTGATACGCCCCTCCCCGAAGGGGAACAATAGGATTGTAATAACACTTACGGTGCTTGTACTATTAATGAGAAGAAGACGAATCGGAATAATAATAGCAATCGTACGTATACTACTATTACTACTACTACTATACTTTAATATACTATACTATACTATACTATACTATACTGTGCTATACTAGACTATACTATACGGTACTATACGATACGATACTATACTATACTATACTATACTATACTATACTATACATACTACACTATAGTATAATATACTATACTATGATATACTATACTATACTATACTACACGATACTATACTCTACTATATATAATGTACTATATTATAGTATACTATACTATACTATAGTATACCATACTATAATATACTATACTATACTATACTGTACTATGGTATAATATACTATACTATACTATATTATACTATACTATATTACACTATACTATACTATACTATATTATACTATACTATAAAATACTATACTATACGGTACTATATTATACTACTACTACTACTACTACTACTACTGCTACTTGTGCTAGTAGTAGTATTCGTGGTAGTAGTAGTAGGTAGTAGGTAGTAGGTAGTAGGTAGTAGGTAGTAGGTAGTAGGTAGTAGGTAGTAGGTAGTAGGTAGTAGGTAGTAGGTAGTAGTAGTAGTAGTAGTAGTAGTAGTAGTAGTAGTCGTAGTAGTAGCAGTAGTAGTAGTAGTAGTAGTAGTAGTAGTAGTATTACTACTACGACGGCGACTACTACGATTAGTATTATTATGGCTACTACTGCTACTATTACAGTTATTACTATTATTACTGTCTCCGTTCGTATTAATACACCAGCTACTATTGTCACTACTACTACTACTACCTCTACTACTACTACTACTACTACTACTACTACTACTACTACTACTAGCTACTAGCTACGAGCTACTCTAACTGCTAACTGCTAACTACTACTACTACTAGTACTACTACTGCTGCTGCTGCTGCTACGACGACTACTACTACTGTTTTTACTTCTACTTCTACTGCTACTTCTTCTACTGTTCATAGTTCTAATGTTGCTAGTGTTACGAAGCATACCGAAACATACGGATACAACTAGTACACATCGACCAACACAAATCACCAGCACACTTCGGCCAATAAGAATAGTCATACTAGTACTACTAATAGTAAGAATATGTGCCCTAAACCACTCATGCCGTAAGAAGTGCTGGTGGGACATGGTGCAGGCTATGTGGTGTACTTCACTTTTGCGGCATAGTATGCGTGGTGTAAGCCAGGGGCGGCTACAAGGCGGCCGCGGGCGGCAGCGTGGCGGAAGCTCGCTGGATCCACCCACCGCACGAGACGGTTCCCTAAGGGACGGCGCGCCTCGACTCTCCCCTCCCTCCACCATCTTTCCTCCTCCTCCTCCTCGTCCTTCTCCTCCTCCTCCTCCTCCTCGTATGCCTCCTCCTCCTACTCCTCCTCCTCCTCTTCCTCCCTTAGGCCGCCCCAGCTCTTCCTCCCAAAAGAAAGCGCGTGGAGCTCACGCCCAGGCTGCTCCAGGCCATCCGACTGTGCCGACAAAGCTGGCTCGCTGCAGGCGCACGGAGCGCGCCTCGCTCCCCTGGCCGGCCCGTCCTCCTGCTGCCGGGAGGCCGCGGGGAGCCAGGGTTCGTGGGCGGCCAAGATGGGGGTGATGCCCAGGGGGGGTTGGATATCATGGCGGGGGCCACGATTTCTCCCTAGATTGTTGCATGGCGCCTCTTCTTATTTCAATGCGTTCCCAGCCCCCTCTGTGCCGCGCACATGCCGCCGGCCATGATTTGCGCCCCACCCCTCTTGGGCACCCCCCTCTTGGACGCCCCCTGGCCGCGGGGAGCCAGGGCGGGCAGGCAGGATGAGTACTCTTCTCTCTCCACCGGTTACGTACTGAACTATTATTGTCCCTAAGTGTCTCGTTTGTCTGTCGCACACGACTTACAAACTTGATATGTTACATGTTTTCGCCGATCGTTTTTTTCTTCTTCTACTTGCTGTTTTTGTTTTTGTTTCTTGTTTTTTATAGAAACGATGTGTTTCAGAAAGGTCCTCCCGCTGCAGCGCGCGCCTCATTTTGGGATCAACGCCTTGCTCCCGTGCAAGTAGTGATCCTGGTCCTTACTCGTCGTTGCCTGTTCGTTTCGCCTCTTTCCTCACGTGTACGCATCTTCCCTGATCTCAAGGGCGTAAAACACGCCCCTACCCTGGTTTGCGATGCGCTGTGCGCTGAACCTCCTGTGGGCTGGCAGGGTAGACCCTGCATATCGCGCGTGTCGCGCGGCGTCCTGGCGGCTCTCTGGCCTCTGGGAGCTCCCAGGAGGTTTGCGGACCACGCACTTGTAACCCAGGGTAGGGGCGTTTTTGCATCCCTCAATGACCTGCGAGCGCTTAACACGACGGTGTTGCTTTTGGGGGGTCCAGGATCGATCCAGCACCCGTCGGCGGATGGAGGACACATCCGGGCAACGGGAAGGGATGGGTGGTGGTGGGGAGGAGGAGGAGGAGGAGGAGGAGGAGGAGGAGGAGGAGGAGGAGGAGGAGGAGGATGAGGAGGAGGAGGAGGACGTGGAGGAGGAGGAGGAGGAGGAGGAGGAGGGAGGAGGAGGAGGAGGAGGACGAGGAGGAGGAGGACGAGGAGGAGGAGGGAGGAGGAGGAGGAGGAGGAGGAGGAAAAAGAGGAGGAGGAGGAGGAAAAGGAAAAGGAGGCCCGAGCGCCGAGGGTGGAGGCCTTTCCAACCTCGGCAGCACGGCCAGAGCCTTCCCTGCTCTCGCACTCCATCCCCTTTACCCATTCAACGCCACGTGCAGCGCGCCCGCCGAGAGCCTCCTGGGGGCGGGGTACGTCGATCGCCTGCTTCCCCCCTCGGCGCAATGGCATGCCGGGTCGTCGGGCCCCGCGGCCGACGCGGCCGCCAGGCCCAGCCAGAGCTGGCGGCGGAGCTCTTGCGCAGCCTCCTCGGCACCGAGGGCGCGCAGCGGAACCGGCAACCGCCGCGGGCGCGCCGCCCAGACTGGCGCTGCAGCTGCGGCACCACGAACTTCGACAACCGGCAGGCCTGCCAGGGGTGCTCTGCGGCCCGCGCCTGAGCGCCCGCAGCCTGCCCTCCGCCG